GGTAGGTTCATTGACACTTAATGGTCTGAGTTGTCACCGGACCGAACTGGGTTGCTACAACTCGCCGTCATAGGAGATGGGTTCTTGTAGAAGCTGCTGGCTGGGCTATCACCAGTGAAACCCACTTCTAATCACTCAATAATGAGGCAAAAAATAAGGAAAGAAATACAGAGAAAGTGAGTATTGCTTGTAGAAAGAGAAAAACAGAGACAGCAAAAAAGGAAAACTCAATATAAAATAATGCAAACACAGTTTAAGAGTGCCCACTGTACCCGCCATCCTCGCCGTAGTCCTCGTCGTTCCGTTTCACTACCGAGAATACCTTGCTCGCCGCCGTTCCCCGCGCCTCGATGGTAAGCTTCGTTCCGAGCTCTCCTTCAGCCGTTTATCCTTGCCTCTATCCGTCGCCACAACTGTCACGCTTGCCGTCGTCGGTAAACAACATCGGCGGTAATCCAAGCACACTGACGGTCACCATCATCCGCGGTCTTATCATCCTTGCCGACCATTTAGTTGTTCTAAGCTCTCCGCTACCAAGCCGGTAAGTTCTATTGCCGTAAAATCCTTGATAGCTGGTAAGTTCTCTTGCCGTCGGCAGTACAAACCCGCTTGGGTCATCATGGGTAGAGCATAGTCCCAACATCTGCAAATCAGTTGCTTGCTCCCCGGGACAGTTCCTTCTAGCTTCACCACGGTTTAATTAGTCCATGCTCGTCGGTAAAGACATCTTCCTTCGCCACCGGTAAGAACAGTCCCTTGCATCGCAGTCGTTCTGTGTGTTTGACGGTACACTCCGTCATCAAGCACATCGCCGTCCATGCTCTTCTCCATTGACATCACCCGTTTCCAGCACAGACCCACTACCAAGTGGGAACATATAAGAAACAAACATTTGGAGATGGGAGAAAGCAAGTAAGCATAGTTGCCGGGGAGCCGTCGGGGACAGAGGAGAGAGAGAGAGAGAGTGGGCTTGTCGGCAGTGTCAAGGCCGTGGGAAAGGAGAAGGGAAAAAAAATCTTAACAAGGGTACTATTGGCATTTTACATCCATGATATTTTATATTTTTTATAATAAATTAATAAGTAAAGGTAAATTAGTAATTTTACTCTTTTCGTTAACAGCATAACTTTAAAGGAGAGGTGAGTATAATTTGACAAACAAAAAGAAGATATGTCTAGGTTAACAAAACCTCATGGGAAATAAGTATAATTTACCTTAAAAAGTACGTTATTAATCCCTTTAAAGATTGAGGATGATACCCCTCAAATTATTATTATTATTTTTTTTTAGAGATCTAACATACAGTAACACTCTTCAATAATAATTCAGGAAGATACCCCTCAATTTACTAGGAAACACTCTTCAAATTACTTCTTGAAATTGATTTTTTTTTTTAACTCATTTAAATTATAACTTTTTTTCATTTTTAAATTCAGAGCATTTATTCGGTGCTTTTGGAGACAGCATCATTGATGTTGCAATACCATGCTGAATTCTACAAACACCAAAAAATAAAAAATATATATTTTTTACCTAAAAAAAGGAAAATAACGTCCAAACAGGTAAAAATAAAAAATAAAATAATTTACCTAAAAAAGGAAAATAATGTTGAAACAAACCGGGCCTAAAATAATTTGTTTTAAAGTAGAAGACTCTGCATCCCGAGTGACAAGAAGACTCTGAATACTTCTATTCTACTAAAATTTTTGTCACACATTATACAATGACTGCAATTAAATTTGATGCTGTAAATTTTTGTTTCACATGAGTGTTCAAATGAGTATGAGCCTTGCTTAGCACAACAATGTCCACTAAATTATTAGTCTTTCGCAAGTCGATCAATGTTCTTTTTATATCCAACTATACTCTGTTTCACATAAATGGAAGATAAGTAAATTTGGTTCAGTGTGTGTTGTGTGCGCTCTGTACTAATATACAACAAATGTGGCTCATTAAAGTTAGGGCAAATTACACAAATCACTTCCGAAGTTTTCATCTCTTGTATTCGGATAGAAGTTACCCTTCTGATTTTATTGACTTGACATATACCTTGAACGTCAAACTAAGTGAAGGGGTAAAAAAATATTTGGACCAAAATAACCTTGAGGACTCAATTATTAAACTGAAATTATTATCTATATTTTGACAAAAATAACCTTCTTCACCCACAAGCAGGGGATTCCTCCTTCCTTCCCCACAAGTGCAACCCACTTCCCTACCACATCACCGCCAAGTGCAACCACCACCAAACCCACCCAAAACATCCATCACCACCACAACACCAGAACCAAATTGCAAAAACCACAAAATCCGCGCAGCTCCAAGAAGGTGTCCCGACAAAGGAAGAAGCTTACCAAACAATTGAAATATTTCGATTCTATGTCCAAATATATTTAAAGCTAAATCATGAATTTGAAGAAAACAAAGAAGCAAGATTAGCACTGGAAAAAGAACAACTCACCCCGTCACCACCAATAGCTCCACCTACCTAGTTAGCTTGGCTAGCTCCTCCTGTGTCTAATCACATAATAGAATGACTCCTTGCTTACCGTAGTACCCCTGGTGAACTCCCTCTCTTCCTAATCTTTTCCCAATCTGCCTCCACTCTTACTCTAAGTCATAGTTTGCTCCTGTCTGTCGTTCCTTTTGCCGACGCCTTTTCACTTCACAAGTAATTGAAAATTGATCTGTCACGGAATTGATCATTTTTCTATTTCCATTGTAGCAATGATCTAAATGAATCCAATATGCCTCCCTTCCTTTCACTGTTGTACAGTATGGTGTTTCAAAGCACTTTTGTGCCACGGATAACGGGGACAACATAGAGCCAGAGATGCCCGCAAGGTCATATGGTAGAATCTATATGTGAGTATTGTATCTTCTGCCCGCCGGTGGTGTCGGTTGTGTTGCAGAGAGAGATAAAGAGACTTGAAATAGAGGGGCAAAAAGGAAACTTGCCAATACCCAATATCTTTTACTTTTTTTAATTAAAAACAAATACTTTAATCTTAAGGTCAAAAATGTAAATTTTTATTTGTTATAATTTCTATCCAAATGTAAGAGATGAAACCTAGAGGATGATTTATGTAATTTGCCCTTAAAATTAAGTGTCCAATAAGATAGTGGCAATAGAACTTTTTGTTATCAAGGTCATGTTGGAAACTTGGAGATTAAGTACGATAGTAATGAAATCATTTGTTGAAATATGTATCATTTGCAATATGGGAGGACGAAATTGATATCAATGAACTAATGTTACATTTGGAGGTATGGAATCTACACTCTATATTTATAATATAAGAAAATATAGGAAAGAAAGAGGAAGAAAAGAAACAATACGTGAAATAAGGAAGAAACGGAAGGAAAGAAAACAAAAGAGACGAAAATTTTAAAAAGAAAAAAAGAGGGAAGGAAATTAAAGAGTAAAAAAGGGAAGAGTTGTATAAATAGTTTTTCATGCTTTTCATGTTGGCAAATTGCCTTTACAAGGATTGAAGTGAGGAAATTGAGGGTAGCATTTGATCATTGAGCCCTATAAAGATAATAAAAATGTATATTTGCTCAGTATTTTTGATATTATAATTTTTTTAAGAGACATGTAATTAATAATGTACATGTTATCCTTTTCAATTTAAAAGTGTAGATTATCAAGTCCGAATATATTTAAAAATTCAAAGGATAATTATAAAAACATAAGTATTTTTTTTATTTTGACTTGTCAAATCAAATAACTAATTTGGAATACCCTAAAATGAAATAGTAGACAACTAATATGAGACTGAGGAATTTAACCAGCTAGCTAACATTAGTTACGATTATGAAGCTTTTTGTGCAGCAGCCCAAAGGAGGAATTAAATATTTTCATCGTATCAAAGACCATATGTAAATATTATTTAATTTATGTATAAATATATGAATTTTTTTATTTAGATTATCATGATACATAATTAGATGTCATATTTGTAATGTTTCAATCCTCTGAAAAATTAGAATCCATTTTTCTATATCACCACAGAACAGTCCGGAGTACTAATTAAAAGCCATGCCACTAACTGATTCTAAGGATTGATTGGCATATATGCAGTACTCAATTGATTAAATTATGATCATTGTTATCCTATTCATACCGTGCATGCATCATAATATGAACATAACTAAAAATGGAAGAAATTTAATTAAAAATTTAAACTAAATTTGTTTCAATTTTAATTCATTATTAATTTCAAATAAAGCATAACATTAATATCAATGCGTATTCCATCATCCAATGCTTATTCTTTTCATGATGGCATTAGAAAATTTATACATGTTTCTGTAAAAGCTTGTAGTTCCAACAACTCTAGCTATTAATTAAAGTTCTTAGTACAACTAGTAATTCCAAAACAGCCCCCACCCCATGTCCTTACTCTGCAAACAGACCATCAAACCATATCATTAGCGTGAAACAATACACATCATGATTTCATTTTTTTCTTACTAAATTAGGGAAAAGAGAGATTCGAACATGAAAATGCATGCTCGGGAAGCTGTGAGCACTCTATCATTTAATTAGGATCTGGGTAATGCCCATCACACATGATGACTTTGATGGGTAAGATAGTGACTTCCCAACCCCTTTTTATTCTCGTAACCTTCTTCAATTCCATTATCAAAGCATTTGTTGCACTCAAGAGCCTTTTAAGTTCATGAACGTCATAGTATGGTAACTTTATCTGAATCTCAGTTATGTACATATATAGGCCATCACACTCTGTTTTTTCATCTCACGAAGTCAAACTTCCAGCTCACTAAATCCAAGTCTCTTACGTCAATAGACTTTACGTGGACCATTGCATGTGCACCTCCTTCCATGTGCTGGTTCATACCATCCAAACTTAGTTTTTGTGGTTTTGTGAAGTGACAAAGCAACAAATGTGTCTATATATAAACCATAGACTTGGTCGCTACCTTACTATCACCAACTCTTGATCCGAGAGATTTTGTTATATTTCTTGGTGAAAATGAAGCTTCACACTTCATGTGTCCTCATTTTGGTGGTGGTGAGTGCAATACTAGTACATAGCACCACCACTTTATCTGCCGCCGATGCCGGCACCGGAGAGGAGTCGGGAAGTCAATATGGTGGTGGTTACTATCCACCACCTGTTGGAAGGCCTCATAAACCACCACCATATCACCACCCACCTCATCATCACAGGCCACCGTCTTCCAAGCACCCTCCACCCTCTCAAGGCTACCCACCGCCTTCTCAAGGCTACCAACCGCCCTCTCGAGGGTACCCGCCACCTTCTCAAGGCTATCAACCGCCCTCTCAAGGTTATCAACCACCCTTTCGAGGGTACCCGCCGCCCTCTCAAGGCTATCAACCTCCCACTCGAGGGTACCCGCGGCCGCCCTCTCAAGGCTATCAACCTCCCACTCGAGGGTACCCGCGGCCGCCCTCTCAAGGCTATCAACCACCCTCTCATAGGCACCCTCCACCCTCTAAAGGGCACCCACCGCCATCTCAAGGGCACCAACCACCCTCTAAAGGGCACCCTCCGCCTTCTCAAGGCTATCAACCACCCTCTAAAGGGCACCCTCCGCCTTCTCAAGGGTACCAACCACCCTCTAGAGGGCACCCACCGCCTTCTCAAGGGTATCAACCACCCTCTAAAGGGCACCCTCCGGGCTCTCACCACCACTACCCACCACCCAGTCTTGGCTACACCCCGCCTTCTCATGGGCATCAAGCACCAACCCACAAGACACCACCGTCCCATCACGGACACCCACCACCCAAAGGCGGCTACACCCCACCAATATTTCAAAAGCCCCCACCGCACCATCAAGGCCACCAGCCGCCAACCCCTCACCGGCATCCACCTCCTCATGGCGAACATCGTCCTCCGTCCCAATATCCGCCGCCCTCTCCTACATACCCTCCACCGTATGGGCAGCCTCCACCAACTTCATACTTGCCGCCATCACCTCCAAAGAAAAACCCACCGCCAACTTCACATGTGCCACCGTCACCTCCAAAGCAAAAGCCACCGCCAACTTCATATGTGCCGCCGTCACCTCCAAAACAAAAGCCACCTCCAACTTCATATGTGCCGCCGTCACATCCAAAGCAAAAGCCACCGCCTCCTTCATACGTGCCACCGTCACCTCCAAAGAAAAAGCCACCGCCTCCTTCATACGTGCCACCGTCACCTCCAAAGCAAAAGCCACCGCCAACTTCACATGTGCCTCCGTCACCTCCAAAGAAAAAGCCACCGCCAACTTCACACGTGCCACCGTCACCTCCAAAGCAAAAGCCACCACCAACTTCATATGTTCCGCCGTCACCTCCAAAGAAAAAGCCACCGCCAACTTCATACGTGCCGCCATCGCCTCCAAAGCAGAAGTCTCCACCATATACTAAGCCTCCACCAACTCCATATAATGCTTGAGCCTTAGGTTTGTGTGTGTGTGTCAGTGTGTGATTATAGTACGTGTTTGCTTGCTTTGCTTTATGTCCTGTGTTGATGATCACTTTAGTCCTGTATCTTTGTTACTAGCTAGTCTGTTATGAATGTTTTTAAGTCTAATGACTATGATCAAAGAATTAATGTTTTGGTGTTGTAATTACTAATTTTGGTGTTCATCATCATCATCATCATTATTATTATTATTATTATTATTATTATTATTATTATTTCTCAATGCGAGACAATGAGCCAACAACATCGGATTATTTCTCTTTACAATTTTTTTATTTTTATTTTTTAAAATGGAGTAAATAAATGTCTACATGAAGAAAAATGAGCTCTGCAAAATCAACTATTCAAGGGGCATTTTCAGGAGAAAATACAGTACATAACACGGCCCAGGAAGCTCAGAAATAAACCCAAAGCAACATAAACCAGTCCAAACAGATAAAAGCCCAAGACTTAACAAGAAGGGTTGGACAAGGAGCAATACCCCGCCTAGCCCGGGATGACTGTTGTTCTTTAATTCTTTTTATTTGAAGTGTTTTTTTTTTCTTTTTTTCTTTTTTGTCATGGTACATTTCTCACCAAAATATATAATTAGACTCAGCATCGTAAAATATTTACAGTTTGAAAGAGACTTCTTCCTTATGGCGATCACCAAGTTTATTTGATTATATGAGATGTCTATCAATGTATTTTGACTGACAAAATGAAAGTTATGAAAGTAAATTATGAAAAAAATTAATTTGAATAAAAAATGTTTAACATAAATAAGAGCTTAATTGCTAAAATATAATAATTACAAAAAATCAATTAAGCCTGAGTTCGATTTGACCAATAACAAAGATCGCAAAAAAAATGAATAGTCTTCCTATTAGTACTAAAAAAACACATAAAACCAATAGCTTAAGAAATGAAATTTGGGAGGAAAAACGGTATATGTAACAAGCATAGCTAGTATTGATCATTAGGAAAATTTCAATCAAACATAATTTTAGCTACTTAAAAAGGACTCGTCGAAATTATATTGAAAGTTGTGTTAGTCTTGTTATTTGGATTTCTAGCATCCAATTTAACTCATTTTGTGAGGAAGAGATACTCAATTTTATTTATTTATTTATTGATACATTATACTTCTTTATCTTTGACATATTCTCTTGTTGAAAAGGAAATGAGTGTGGAGATGGTTCCATTTTCCTTTTATTTATTTATTTTTTAATGTCCATATGACATAAATGAGTTGCATATTATAAAGTTGCATATTATTCTTGATTTGATTATTGAATGAATAAAAATCAAATTAATCAATCTTAATAATTACAAAAACGTTTGAATTGGACCAAATCATTGAAACCAGAAATGTTCAATTCAGTTTGGTCCAGTTCTACCATATTATTAAACTTGTAAATGAATCAAAAGTTCTACGAATAACTTAACTTCGGCTCAATAATAGCTCAATTCGTACTCATTTACTTAATAAATAAACCAAACTCCAATTATTTTTCTAAACTCGTTTTATAAATAAATCAATCTCAAACAATCCCTGCTCCACTCATCTCCACTCATTTATTGGTGAACAAAGAACATGTTCACGAACACATATAATTATATATATACATACCCATTAATATGTACTTTATATGTATTTCATTTTATCATTTTATCACTATTGAGTCCAAGCCCATAGGGTTTTCAATAAACCCAGCCCAAAGGCCCAAACCAGTCCAACCCAAGTGTTAACTAATTCATCCTTTTAAAGTTAACCCAAGCCTATCTAACTATTAGCCCATTTTGCAATAAAATATAAGGAACAAAAAAACCCTAAATCAATCGATTTCAGATTTCAGATTTCAGACAGCTGATTCTCTTTGTAGAACAGCTTTGAGCCTTCTCACCGATTCTTCGACATTCATTGAACACACTAAGCCTTCTCACGCCACTGTTGATCGAAGATTGGTTGCTCAACTTGCTCTTCGACATTCACGAACAGAGAGTCTCAGAGACTCAGACACGGTCAATTGCGAACACATCAAGCCTTCTCAAATTCAACAGGTTCGAAGTCCTCAATCCTCACTCCTCTAACCTTCTAAAGTTTTCACTTCTCAGATTACTCAACAAAGTGTCATTTTTTTTTTTTTTTTTTTTTTTTTTTTTTTTTTTTTTTTTGTTTATGCTTCCATTCTATCTTCTGTGCAATGACTCATATTCTAGGGTGTATTGTTTTGAGAATTATGTTGACAAAGTTTTGAATCTGATTTCGCTGAGGAGGTTAAATAATGTGACTTGCAATAATTTATGCTTGGCGTTTTCAATTTCATATCAATTGAAATTTCAGACGCAGTATTATATTGTTGTGTTGTGATTTGTTTCGAATCATAAACATAGTAATAACTACTTGGTTCATACTCCATAGTCCATACGTGAGTCTGTGACTACTTGGTGATGATGATTTTGAGGAATTTGTTCAATTTTGAGGATTTATGTTTTGTGTTCTTTTCTGTTCTGTTTATGTCTCAATTTTTTGTGTTTTGGCCTTATTCTTTGCTATATTTTACAAACAATATTGTTTTAAAAAGTATTTTGAATTTTTTTTTACAAATTGGTAGAATCTTACAATTTACAACGGTTACGGTTCTACGGAACCCAAAACGATTCATGTAGAATCCCGATTTTAACAACCTTGCACACATGTTTATACAGTGATCAAAATTTAATATTATAATATTAATAGTTTGGTTCGGTTAGGTCTGGAAAAATGTTTTTCCACATAGTATTGGAGCGAAACATGCAACTCCATCCTCGCCACTTTGGCCGCGACCTCCGAGAAAAACTTGTCGCCAAACTCATGAAGGATGTGGAGGGCACTTGCAGGTTGGCTTCTCACTTTCACACCTAAAAACCCTTTTATTTCTTTCCTCAATTATCAATTGAATTGCTTTTAAAAGAAAATAAAATCAAATAGAAAAATCTTAAATCAATTTATTTTCAGCGGTCGACACGGATTTGTGGTCGCGATTACCGGGATTGAGAATGTTGGCAAAGGGCGTATCCGAGACGGCACTGGGTTCGTGACCTTCCCTGTGAAGTACCAGTGCGTTGTATTTCGACCCTTTAAAGGGGAGATCTTAGAAGCTGTTGTTACTATGGTCAATAAGGTATGTTCTCTGTTTTACAATTAAATATATATATATATATATATATATATATATATATATATATATATATGCGTGTAATGTAGGATTTGTAATTTTATTGGTAATTATTGCAGATGGGATTTTTTGCTGAAGCCGGGCCTGTCCAAATATTTGTGTCCAATCATGTGAGTCTACAAGACTTCTTAAATATATTTTTTTTGTGCTATTGTAGGTGTTTATCCATTCGCTATTGTTGGAAGCAAAGTTTTTTTGACGGTGTTGCTGCTCCTCCTCCTCCCTCCTCCATTACCTAGGAGTAGATGAAGAACTGACAGTGCGCTAAGGCGAACATAGTGAAATACTCCCCCGTCCCAAAATAAGTGTCCAGTTTGGTGAGTCACAATTTTTTGAGTCGCAGTTCCCAAAGTGGACACTTATTTTGGGACGGAGGGAGTACTTATAAATAAATAAATAAAAGCCAACATAGTGAAAATGGCAAGAGAGGAAGTGATGGTCGAATTGTCTTTTGACATAAAAAAGATGTAGCGTGGAGTGTGAGAGTAGGTATTTGGAGCTATCTTACATGGACTCTTCTATATCCCTTCACTTAGTTGTGTTGATGTGACACAATATAGGTATGGGAGGGGGGAAAAAAACATAGGTATGTGTACTAGATATGTGTCCAGCACACAAACACAAGTCAGACACCCAGATCCTTCACAGGGCATGATTAGAGAGGAACAAAAAAACTTAAACATAATAGCAAAGATGAGTTTCATATCTACGAGATGGATAGAAACCTTTTCTTTTACCACATTCCATTTAATTTAGGTAATAACTGAGTATATTCTTATAAAAGATAATAATTAAACATTACAATATAATAAAACATATAATGTATGTACATGCGTAGTTTGTGTATAGTACTTGTATCCATGTTTGGGACACATATTCCAGTATCTTAAGACTTGGTTTGAGGAGGTCCGACACTTAGATATACACTCGCACATGACAGACTTACCCGAGTCTGGGTAAATTAAATTGGGAGGGCCAATAGAGCTGCACCAAAAATATTATCTGCAAAATATATATCTATGTAACTATGTATACTATATAATATGTATTTATTTAAGGCTCCATTAATCTTGATGTGCATTTTCACGTGGCTTTATTAGAACTTATCATGTACCTCCTATGATTTTTTAGAAAATTATATTTTACATGGATTTTGTGTACTGTAGCCATAGATTGAGCCTAATAGATGCATCTAAGTACACACACTAAATATATCTGCTATATCTGATCCGCACACACTGTAATATTGTCCTCTTGTTCTTTTAGTTAATACCAGATGATATGGAGTTCCAATCCGGAGATATGCCTAACTACACGACTTCTGACGGATCAGTATGTATCAGTTTCTACTTACTTTACTAAGGAGTATTCTTCTTAAAGTCTTTACTTCCTAGATGCATGCATGCTTGAATATTGATCTCATTGGTTCTTTGCAGGTTAAGATTCAAAAGGATAGTGAAGTTCGATTAAAGATTATTGGAACTCGAGTGGATGCTACAGAAATTGTATGCTACTATCCACCCAAGTTTATCTATGAATTTTTTTTTTTTTTTTTTTTAACGGCATTAAGACATTACGTTTAATTATCAAATAAAATAGTTATGGTTGCTAGGCTGGACTAGCAAATTGAAATTTCCAGTCTCAGTTTAGAAAAAATGCAATTTTTACTATAAAGGATTTTCATTTTATTGTTTGAGTATAAACAAATCCTACTTGTACAAAGAAGTGATGTGGAACTGTTTAAATAGAAGTAGAATAAATACAAATTCTAAGAATGATCTGTAGGTAGATGCTTAAAATCTTTGGAAACTTAAAAGAAATTGAAAAGGAACAAGCAAGAGATAGAGGCTAGAACTATTGAGTTGATTGTGTTCATTAGTATTAATAATGTATATTTCTCATCTTGAAGTTCTTCTGTTCAAACTACTTACCACAAGAAAAAAATAAAAATAAAAATTTGTTCTTCTGTTCTAACTTCATCAGGCCACTAAATGTGTATTTCTTTTTAATAATGCAGGCAAGCAAAATATAACCTATATATTGGTGATTAATTTAGGGTTAAAATCATAAAAACCCCTCCTACTATCAAAACTATGCATATAACCCCCAACAGAATCATAAAACCCCTCGAATTAACAAAAGTTATCATATTACCCCAATTCGTGACCGAACCGTTAGTTCGAGTTGTTAAATGACCAAATTAACGTTATTAATTAATGCTTTAAAAAAAAAAAAATTTTCTTCCTTATCTCTGTCCATGCACCACCCATCACACGCCTCCCGCTTTGCAAGGTTCAATTTTTTTTTTTCCCATTTGAATTTTCTTCCACAAGAATATTGTGTATGTATATATATAGATACACAGTCTCTTGTACAAGACAAATCAATTATTTTCAGGTCTTAGTGTCCTACTCTTACATATTCATAAGCACATATATACATATAATGTATACATAGGAAACTCGTATATTGTGATGGTAATGAGAGGACAAGAATAGGAAGATGGTTATAGAGCATAACAGCGCTATTGTGCCATAGTGCTTCAAAGTGATCAAGAGGGGTTGACAGTGGACAAGTGATGATTCAAAACGTATAAAATTTGAGGATATTTATGGGGTCAAAATGTAGAACTTTAGGTTTTTATTTTTATTTTTATTTATGTGGTCAATTTAATCTCTGAAATTGGGGTTGGAGTTGAAAATGTTGCCTTTTGTGGTCAATTTCATCTCAGTTTCTCAGACTTGTTCTACTTATAGGTTCTCTGTCTCTTTGCCCAAGCTCCGGCGCCAGCGTCCAAACTCTGAACCATTTCATTGCCAGACCCAATTCCTTTTTTCTGCTCAAAACAAAACAACCACAACATCAGTGTGCCAGTGTTAATTTGTCTCATTGGCCCAACATTTCGTTTCAATTTCTTGATAAAAAATGAAAACTAACTTTAGCTTTAGATAAAGCATCGATGTTGCCATTATTAAGTGATGGAGCTAAGGACGAATTAATTCGGGTAATTTCCTCCAAAGCAGAGCATTTTTGGAGAAGCTTCAGTTGAGAAAGCATGGGGTATAGTTAAAGCAATTCTCTATTTCGTGACCCAGAATTAGGGCTGTAAATGAGCTGAGCTGAGCTTTGGAGTGTTCGGGCTCGGCTCGACTCAATCAAAGGGATGCTCAAGCTCGATTGAGCCTTGGCTGCCCATGATTGAGCTCGGCTCGGCAGTGCTCGAGCGAGGTCGAGCTCGGCTCGGCTTGGCTGCTCGTTTTGTAATCCAAACAAAAAATTAAGTCCCGTTTATATATATATATATATATATATATATATATATATATATATGAATCTGTGTATAAACGGAGCACCAATCTTTACATTCGTACCAATGTTCGTTTCATCCTCAAACTTTGACACTCCCGATTTCAATCATTCACACCAATATTAACAGAACAGACGAGTGAGACCAGTAGAGTGAGAAATACGACTATAAGAGAGACCAGTTGAGAGAGAGAGAGAAACACCAATAGATGAGAGAGATGAAGCTTTGGCTTGGGTTGTTGCTGTTACTGTGATCGTTGGCTAAATGGGACTTTTGCCGTTACTGTAATCGTTGGCTGCTTTGGCTGTTGTTGTTGCTGCTGCAATCGTTGGCTGCTTTGGCAAAGGGTGTGGTTGGGGGAGTTTTAGGGTTCAGACTTCAAAGTGATGCGATGAGGATTGAGGGTTGAGATGATATGTGTGTATAGATGGGCTTCATAAATGGGCTTGCGGATAGACATGTTAATTTGTTCGCTGGCCTGTATCTATTTTGTTTTTAAAATGGTTGGTTGCATGCATATGGATTGGGTTTGGATGGGCTAAACGTTTTAAGTTTAAAAGAGAAGGTATGTATCCAAACTTATAGTTAAAAAGGAAAAAAAGGGTAACATGATGTTATTTGGGTTAAAGTTAATTTTAATTAAAGTGGGTCTGAGAATATATTTTTGAGCTAAAAAAAAAGGTGGGCTGACTTCTTCAAGGTACAAGACATATATATATATAGCCATGTTCACGAGATGAGGATTGAGGGTTGAGATGATATGTGTGTATAGATGGGCTTCATAAATGGGCTTGCGGATAGGCATGTTAATTTGTTCGCTGGCCTGTATCTATTTTGTTTTTAAAGTGGTTGGTTGCATGCATATGGATTGGGTTTGGATGGGCTAAACGCTTTAAGTTTAAAAGAAAAGGTATGTATCCAAACTTAATAGTTAAAAAGGAAAAAAAGGGTAACATGATGTTATTTGGGTTAAAGTTAATTTTAATTAAAATGGGTCTGAGAATATATTTTTGAGCTAAGAAAAAAGGTGGGCTGACTTCTTTAAGGTACAAGACATATATATATATATATATATATATATATATATAGCCATGTTCACGAGCTCATTAACGAGCTTTGTTCACAACATGTTCACGAACTAACAAGTCGAGCTCCGGGTTGTTTGAGATTGGCTCGTTTACTAAACGAGCTTGAAAATCTTGTTTGAGCTTGATTCATTTATCAAATAAACGAACACAAGTCGAGCTCTTATCGAGTTGAGCCCGAGCTGTTTGTCGAACGTTTGGTTCATTTACAGCCCTACCCAGAATGTCATTGTTGGCGAAGAGTAGCTGAGAGAAGCTCCCTCCGACGAGTGTTTCTCCGAGGAAACCTTCATTGCCTGCCACTGATGTATCAAAATCAACCCCAACAATAGTTTTTTGATAGAGAGAGCGAGAGGTTGGAAGTGGGTTTATAGGAGTAAACAATGGAAGGTTCTGATATTGAATCTCAAACAACGGAAACATGGAGAAATTGAGGGAAAAATAGATGGATTAACTAAATATATACGTATATATCGCATAGTTGCAAAACAGGAGGATGATGACCATTGATGAGTGATCGGAGGTTGTCAATCTGAGTCTTAGAATTGCTGCTGTCGGCTTGGTATGAGAGAAATTCTAGGTTTGTTCTGTAAGTAAAAAGAGAGGAGGTGATTAAGAAGAGAGAAGGGTATTTTCGGTGTAAAGAGGGTAAGCGAGAGCACATGACATCACGTGCTTCTTTCCCGTTATTATCTAACAGCAGAATAACAGAAATAGGGGTAATTTGATCAATTTTGTTAGTTCGAATGGCTTTATAATTCAGTTGGGGGTTTTATGCATAGTAACCCATTAATTTAGGGCGGCGTTTGACTTTGGGACCACCATTTTCCCTTGGATAAAAACAACGATAAACCAGCCTCAAAATAATTTCATAAAAGAAGACTAGGAAAAAAAAAAGGATTTATTTAAGAGCCCTGCTTTGAAACCCAAGAGCTGAAGAGAATATAATAACTATGCAGTTGGTAAAGTAATCAATAGTAATGCCTTAACTTGCATCAAGTAAAGAGAATTGACCTTGGTTAGGATTTAGTGTGGTGGGTTGGTAAATTTTGTAACAAAAGCCAGATTTTGTAGTTTTTATTTTATTTTGAGTCATTCGGATAGAAACGATTATCTTAATTGAAATTACTACTCAAAATTTCAATCATAATTTGTAGTCTTCAGTGCATTCAATTTCATTCCCCATATTCCTTTGGTTCTCGTTCTGCATTTTTTTTATAATTATTTGTTAATTGAGTTCCTGAATTAATTTGTGGCTTATTTGCAGTTCTGTATTGGTACCATAAAAGATGATTTCCTGGGTGTGATCAGTGACCCTGGCTCAACTTCATAATGGAATTGTTGGTGTTTATCACATCAAACCGCACCATCCCATAGTACGCAATGGGCATGCCTAACTTGCTTAATTTTGTTTCAGAAATTCCTAGTGTTGGTGGTGCTGCATTCAATATCGTGCGACTGATATAAGAGTATACTGTTATGTGTTGTGTAAAAAGATTGCTCTGATGTTCCCGGCTAGGTAAAAGGAAAGCTGTTGGCTGTGTCTGGTTGCAGCCCATTTTGTATGAAGTTGAGCTATTCATGCTGTGAAATGGTTTGTTGTCAAATATCACGATTGACATAGATTCTAATGAATCCTGAGCCAATATATATATATATATATATCTTTCTTGGCCCTGCATAAGCATTTTTTTTTTCTTAACAAATCTTAATACTGCTCAGAAATTATGTATCTAGTCCATGGATAAAATTATGCTATCACCCCTGCAATGAGTGTTCTGTAATTCCGTGGGTATAACTCTTGAGAGGAGAATGAAATGTTGCAACTTGTAACACTAAATTTTAAGGGTTGTGTGAAGACTTAAAAGCTGGGTTTTAACGACTATCCATTCCAAGTTCTACCTGGTTTTAAGAATTTTTTATTTTTTTCTATTTTTTTTCCTTCCAACTCTGAATAATAACTCTCCTACACAAACTTGAACCCTCAGTCATATCCAACTTCAATTTATTGATTTTGTTTTCAATGCATGTTTATGCTCCAGTTGTTATTTAATGCATTTTTTTATTTTTTTTTTGTCCAAATTGAACCGCAATGCATGTTTATGCTCCAGTTGTTATTTAATGCATTTTTTTTTTTTTTTTTTGCCTCCCCCCCTCCCCTCCCCCCCATGTTTTTAGGATGGGGAGATTATATATTGTGGTGGAGGCGTGCCACCCCCCCCTCCCCCCCCCCCGCCCCCCCATGTTTTTAGGATGGGGAGATTATATATTGTGGCGGAGGCGTGCCACGTTTAAGCTTCTAGTTTTCTTGCCAGTTTATAGGTTCTGCCATGGCTTAACACATTCTGTGAAAACATTTTCAGCATTTTTAAAGTATTAATCAAACGCTCAAAAAAATAATTCTTTTTAGAAAAAAGTTTTAAATGAAAAATATTTTTTCAAGTAATTGTCCACGTGAAACTTGTTGCAATGGGAAAATCTCTGTATTTAGTGGTGTGAAATGGAATGGAATGCCCATTTCAATAATTTATTTGTTTGGTATGGCCATTTCATTGTAATGAAAATTCATTCCACAACTAAACCTATTGAATATCCATTTCATTACCAAGTAATTTTTTTAAAAAAATTAGCTTTCCAAAAACCCTCATGTTCCAAGTCTAAAAACCACCATTATTGACCTTCACCGTCGCCCACCGCTTTCCACAACCACCACTGACGTCACCGCCTATCACTACCACCGCCGCATTTCACCACTGCGACCGCCATCACCTTCCACCACCACCGCCATCGCCCTTCACCGCCGTCCACCACCACCACTGCCACCGCCTTTCACCATAACCACTGCCTTCCACCACCACCGCCATTGCCCTTCACAATCGCCACCACCTTACACCACCACTGCCGCAACTGCCGCCTTCCACCGCCACCGTTAGTGGAACCGCCTTCTACCACCACCACCACCGCCACTGCCTTCTACCATCACCACAGTCACCTCCATTGACTCCCACCATCGCCACCTCCATCACTATCTCCTTCCACAACCACAATACTATCACCGCCTTCCACCAACACCACTAAGGCCGCCGCCATCCACCATTGCCACGACTGCCACCTTCTAACACCACTACCGCTTTCTACCTCAACTACGACTACGGCCACCATTTATTTTTAAAAAATTATTAGAGAATGTCATTTTATTAATTTAATTTATTTGTTACTAATAGGGATATTTTTGAAAATTCAATTTATAATCAAACACTAGAATACTTATTATTATTCAATTTTTACACATTTCATATTTACAACCAAATAATAGAATTAGAATATTTATTCCATTACTACTTGGTATTTCATTCTATTTCTGCACACCAAACATAACATTATACCTTCAAATTTCACCTTAAAATGTCGACAATGATATTTAAGCTGATTGAGTCAGAAGAAGGTTTATTTATCTTTAGACAAGGGATAAATGTCCGATTAACAGTAGTAAAAAGATTTTAAGGTTAAAAAAGAGTTTGAACGATATTATTGGAAGTGCTCAGTTGAGTGAATTTATTAAATAAAGAGAGTTTTTAAGTCTCCGTTGTTCAGACTCTTTGTTTGGAATATCAGACTCTTTGTTTGGAAAAAATTTCATTCACTAGAAAAATGGAATTTATGCCCTTTGAATTAAATCCCGGATAAGAATCTACCAATGCACTAGAAGCTACCAGCTAGAGAGTTAAAAATACAGAATCAAACTAGAAGCGCCGGAAAGCCTATTGTGACGACGCATTCTAGCAACATTGGAAGAAATCTCATGTGATGTGGGCGTTTCAGGCCCTCCAACCTGTACAACAACCACCTCCTTACCACCAAATACACTCCCAAAAACACCAAACAACTCGTGTCTTTTCACGACACCAAACCTCCATCGCCATTAGCCCTTCAACCAACAACAATCACTTGATTCAATCTCTCTGCAAAAAAGGCAATCTCAAACAAGCCCTCCATGTCCTCTCTCAAGAACCCAACCCAACCCAACACACCTACGAGCTCTTAATCCTCTCTTGCGCCCAACAAAACTCTCTCTCCGACGGAGTTATCGTTCACCGGCAGCTTATCTCCGATGGGTTCGATGAAGACCCTTTCTTGGCCACCAAACTCATCAATATGTACTCTGAATTGGACTGCGTTGACCATGCACGCAAGGTGTTTGATGGAATTCTTAACAGAACCATATACGTTTGGAATGCGTTTTTTCGAGCTCTAACATTAGCCGGTCATGGAGAAGAGGTGCTAAATCACTACCGTCGGATGAATCTAATTGGTATTCCATCGGATAGGTTTACTTACACCTATGTTCTTAAAGCTTGTGTAGCTTCGGAGGCATTGGTTTCACTACTGCAAGTGGGAAAAGAGATTCATGCGCATATTTTGCGGCATGGGTTTGAGACCCATGTTCATATTATGACTACTTTAGTGGACATGTATGCGAGGTTTGGGTGTGTATCGTATGCAAGTTGTGTGTTTAATGAGATGCCTGTGAAAAATGTGGTTTCATGGAGTGCTATGATCGCGTGCTATGCTAAGAATGGGAGGCCCTTTGAAGCGTTGGAACTTTTTCGTGAAATGATGCTTGAAACCCATGATTTGGTTCCGAATTCGGTGACAATGGTCAGTGTGCTTCAAGCTTGTGCAGCACTTGCTGCCCTGGAACAGGGTAAGCTGATACATGGCTATATACTTAGAAAAGGGCTTGATTCAATTTTGCCAGTTATCAGTGCCCTTGTGACCATGTATGCAAGATGTGGTGAACTGGGATTGGGACGGCGTGTTTTTGATCAGATGGATAAGAGAGACGTTGTATCGTGGAATTCCATGATTTCAAGTTATGGGATTCATGGTTTTGGAAGAGAAGCAATTACAACTTTTAAAGAGATGATCTATAGTGGATTCTCACCGAGTCCCATATCATTAGTTAGCGTTTTGGGAGCTTGTAGCCACGCAGGATTTGTTGAAGAGGGCAAAGTTTTGTTTGAATCTATGGCTAAAGAACATAGGATATATCCTGGTGTGGAGCACTATGCTTGTATGGTTGATCTTCTTGGTCGAGCCAATAGATTGGATGAGGCAGCCAAGGTCATAGAAAATATGCGGATTGAACCGGGACCTAAAGTATGGGGTTCTCTCCTTGGATCATGTAGGATACATTGCAATGTTGAGCTCGCAGAGTGGGCAAGTCGAAGGCTTTTCGAGCTTGAGCCCACAAATGCTGGTAATTATGTCCTTCTGGCTGATATTTATGCAGAAGCTAAGATGTTGGATGAGGTAAAAAGACTGAAGAAGCTGGTACAAGCTCAGGGCTTGCAGAAAGTATCAGGCCGTAGTTGGATTGAAGTTGAAAGGAAAATATTCTCATTCACATCAGTTGATGAGTTTAACCCACAGATTGAGCAACTCCATGCCCTGTTGCTTAAATTGTCAGCGGAGATGAAGGAGAAGGGCTATGTGCCGCAGACCAAAGTAGTGCTCTATGATCTTGATGAAAAAGAGAAGGAACAAATTGTATTGGGACATAGTGAGAAATTGGCAGTTGCCTTTGGGTTGATCAATAGCAATAAAAGGGCAACCATTAGGATCACCAAGAACTTAAGGTTATGTGAAGACTGTCACTCCTTCACCAAGTTGATTTCCAAGTTAGCTAATAGAGAGATTCTGGTGCGAGATGTGAACCGCTTTCACCATTTCAAAGATGGGGTATGTTCATGCGGCGATTATTGGTAATTTTTCACAAAACTCAGTCCTTATTCCTTTCTTCTTCTTCTTCTTTGAATCACAAAGGGTTCTTAGTTGAGAATTCTCATCAGATGGAGACATTTTCAACATCTATAGGTACCAATACCAAACTATGAGAAATGATTTATTGACTTTATTTTTATTTCTACATAAATGATGCTACCATTTTGTATCTTCTACTATTTTTCCCATATCAAGTTTAAGAGAAGTTTAATAGGGGACAATTGCTTAATGTAAACCGTTGCATTAGATTTTGTTTTGGAACAGATATATATATAAAGAGAATTTGTAACTTTTGTTTGTACCAGTTCATGTATTATAATATAACTGATTAATTTGGATTAATGTTAGTTAATTGTCTAAGGACACTGATGAATCAACTATATTAATTGATAAATATTATTTTCTTCTCAATTTTTCTTGGAAATTAAAAAAAAAAACAAAACAAAACAAAAACAAAAGCAAAAAAAAAAAAAAAAAACTTTTACATTCAAAATAAGACTAAACATTCATTTTCATTTTGAAAATTTAATTTTTTTTTTTTTGGTAGAATATATAATATTTGAAACCAAAAATATTGCTATTTATCTCTTTCATAAATTAGTAATTAATTCTCTTTTTTATTTCTTTAAAACAATAATACAAGAACTATCTTTTAAACTAGAACAAATTTCTATTTTTTTTTTTTTTTTTTGTCATGACTAACACTCGTAACTCAACACTCACCCTTAGCATTTGTTGACTACAAATGAGCCATGCACTATTTATATATGCATCTCCTCTTAATAGACGGGTACAATTATACAACACTCCACAATTCTCTCATGACTGATAGGAGGAATTTGTTAGTAGGATGTAATAGTTTGGAAATTTGGCAATAATATCTATTTTGCATTTTCAATTTCATATAAAGCAAAACCAATTCATATTTATGATCTTTACAAAACTCTCTACCATTCTATAATATTCTTTGATTTACAAAGTTTTTAATGTTCTAGAATCCTCTACTCTACTGTTATACACCACTCCACAATTCTCTATACAACGTAATAATCAAAATTTAGTGAAATTTAGTGATAGGGAAATACATATAGGATGTAATAATTTGGGGGGAAAAAGCAATAAAAATATTAATATAAAATACTGATATTAAGAATCCTTTTGGCAATAATTTATAATTTGCATTTTCAATTTCATATGAAGCAAAACCAATTATATGTTTTTTGTGATGTGATTTATTCCAAAACAAAAACATATTTGGTAATTAATTTGTTGCACAATATTTTATATAAAAAAAATGTTTAGAGTTATTTAAAAACAAGTGAAAATCTCCTCTCTTTTTTTATAAAAAAAGTTAAAGCAATACACATTCTTTCTTCACCCAGGTTCGAACTCCCAACTTTCCCTTTACGAAAGGAGGAGTGATAACACTGGGCAATTGATCCTTTTGGAAGTGAAAATCTCCTCTCTCTCGGCTAGCTTTCAGATTTTGGTCTTTTGTCTGAAACAATCTCTAATTGTATAAAATAATAGACTTTAAAAATAAGATAATAAAAAAAGAATAAGAAGATAGAAAAGAAGGTTGCTAAGAGGAAAAAAGAATAATAAAAAAAAAGGAAAAAAAGAAGAAAATAATATATATATATATATATATGAGAGAGAACTTGGAAGGGAAGAAATTAGGATTTGATTGAAGAAAGGAAATGCATACCTTTTTGAAGAGAACTGAAAATAAAAATGAAGAAGAACAAGAGTAGGAAGGAAAAGAAAAAAATAATAATAATGAAGAATTAGAGAGATTTTTTTAGAAAAAGATAATTTTACTGGGGATGCCTCTCTGTCCCTCTAAGCGCTTGCGTGTCAACTTTCCTCCATATTGGATATATATATTTATATTTCCTTTTATTCTATAGAAGTTCTTTAACCTTTAAGAAGTTCAAACAGGCTAAAGCTCATAAATAAACGAATCAAGCTCGAATATGCTAATGCCCGACTCAGCTTAGGTCATTTGCAGTTATAGTTGGTAAAAGAAAAAGGCTAAAAAAAATTAATTTCCTTATTAGATCCCTTACCTTAGATGTGAACATTCAAGCATGTAAAATTTCACATTACAAAACCTACCTCCCAATCAGGAACAAATTGTATTTGGTCAATTTGGCAGTTGCGATTGGGTTGATAAATAGCAATATAAGGCACCACTAGGATGCCAAGGGCTGTTAATCTTTGCAAAGCTCAGTCCTTATTTTTATTATTATTTTTTTTTTCTGAGAGAATTCTCATCAGATAAGAGAGATTTTCTACAATCTATAGTTTACCAACACCAAACTATGAGAAATAATACTCCGTACTACCATTTTGCATCTTCTTCCACTTTCCAGTATCAAGTTTAGGAGAGGTATATATAAGAGAATTTGGATCTAGAAAATGATTTAAATTAATAAGTAGGAAAAATGAATAAAAAAAATCACCAAAATTGAAGAAGATGAAGATAGAGAAACTGAGCAACCTAACAGATTAAATGCATTCTGAAATTATTTTCTTGAAAAACCTTCTTTCCTATACATTTGCTTTAATTACTTGGATCCTAAAGTATTAAGAAATGTAATTTATTTGGTGGCAGATATTAAGAAACTATAAAGATGGTACATTAAGTTAAATAAAACAAATTAAATTATTTATATGCAAAATTAGACATAAAAAGGGTGAAAAAGTTTTTTCCAACTTAAAGGCTACATATAATTGAGTTGTTATAAAATATGAGAACAAATTGATAGTAAACTACTCTCTCAAATCAGTAAATCACCCAATTTTGACAGTTCTCATTAAAGCAGATGGTCATATGACATCAGTGTGTCACATGTTTTGTATCAAAGACAAATTGGGTGACACTATACTTTTTATCTTATTTAAATTTATTTAATTTGTCCCTATATAAAAATAAAAAAAAAATTGATAATAAACTGGGTTGTTTGATAGTACAGCTGTTTACTGGAAAACAATTTTCAGTTGTATGAATTTTTTTTATAGTATATGCATAATTTGATAATATTCAAAAAAAAAAATTGTATAGTACGTTTGATAGTAGGGTAAAAAATTGTATAATACATAAATTCTTATGCCGTCTAAAAATCCGATCCATTTTAACATATTTTTTCAGGAAAACTTTATCCTCCTCCTACTCATCCTTATTAACTATCTAGATATTTAAGATCCCTACATAGTCTACTCTTTTACCGTATATTCTAGTCTGCCCATTTTTATAAATTCTCTATATTCTAAAAAGAAAAAGAAAAGAAAGAAATAATAAGAGATATATCTAGAAAATGATAATGGTAGGGAACAGTTGTCCCTAAACCCATGCTGTTCTCTATCACCTGCACTGGGATATATATGCATCTCCTTTAAATTGATCGTTCATATACATTACTTTTTATTTTGTAGAATTATTACTAACTAGATATTTATGATCTCTACATAGTCTACTCTTTTATATTCTAGTCTATTTATTCTTATAAATTCTCTGATATTCTAGAATTATATATATATATATATATATTAAAGAATGAGTAAAAAGAAAAAGAAAGAAAGAATAAGAGAGATTTCTAGAAAATGATAATGGTAGGGGACAGATGTCCCTAAGCCATGGTGGCTAGGTCGGTCTCTATTAGCTGCTCTTGCATGGCTCATATAAATACAATTATTTTACTGAGTTTTTAAAAAAGTTAATTATTTACTAAAATTGCATTAGTTAGTACAGACTAATATTTAAATATTTATTATATTTATATTTCCTTCATTAATGTTTGAATGACCATTCTATATAATATTGTATTGGAGTTCTTTAATCTTTTGTAAGTATATATTTGTCAAACTTGACTTAGCCCAAAACGATTCTCAACACAAGTTTGGTTTTTTTATTTTTTAGTTTTTTATCTTCAACACTAGAAAAACAGCCATACGATATTTACAGACACAACCATAAACGCCTTACAAAAATAAACAAATCATAAAATAATAAAAGAAAAAAATTAAAGAATAGGTTTCAGGTTTGTTGAGAAACAAGTCAAAACACACCAGCGAACCACTCAAGGAGAAGAGCAGCAACGGGGATGACCCAAAGGTCAAGCCGTCATCAAGACAACAGTTTCAAAGCTGCATCCACAAGACGCTGCCGACTGGGAGAAAACCATCCAAACCCCGCACAAAAAGGGGGGGACACCAAAACCCGACATAGATCGAAAATTTAGCCAGAGATAAAACAACAGGTCCATTCCGTCGAGCCAGAAACAAACCAAACAAAAATAGATCTAACAAAACAACAGCAAAACGGCGTGATACCCACCCACCGAGCATACTTATTACAACAAATCGAGTTTATTAAGCGGTGGGAGGCAAGGATTCGCATTTCCCCACTCCCATGGGAGGGAATGAGGAACAAAACAGAAGGTAAAAAACGAAGGGGAGGCGGCTAAATGGTTAGAGAGGCGAGAAAAAGTAGAGTGAATTCAACAATTAATTTTTTGTGCGGGGTTGACCGAAGAGTCGACATGTGAACCGGGTCAGGGGGAGTAAGTGCCCTTGTCAATCTACTCTCAGGAGGCCCCTTATGCAGCTACAGTTCATAGGTTGCAGATGCCGGGGGTAAGAAGGGCTTCGTCCCGATCCGATGTGCTCCAAGTTCAACAGGTAGGTGAGCAGCAGAGCATTCCTTCCGCCAGAAAGATTTCTCAAGTTGATAATGTAATTAAGCAGAAGGAAAGAGGCCCGAATGGAGCGGGCAGTAAGGGGCTTGCTTGGCAAGAATGAAGGCTATAGAGGAATCAAACTATGTTTCCACAGATTTCACTTTTCGGCCAACATGTTCTTTTGACGACGAAGAGGACAAATTGGACGCTATTCAACTGGAAGATTGAAAGTCTGCTCCTGCAAATTTAGATGACTAATCAGGTAGCGCCCTTGCTTGTAATGCTTGCTGGTTTAACAAACAGAGAGTGGTGGGGCTGGTGGAGTGTTGTTGAGCCTCCTTTTGTTGGGGGAAGGTTATCCGGGGGTGAATTGAATTCATTATGAACTCAAAAGTGTAAGGCTGATTAGTGAGGTCTTAAAAACTTCATACAATGAATGATCGTCTATTCCATTTTTTCAAATCTAAGCTTTCTATGTTTCAATCGGCAATTGCTTGGATGCGTTTGAAAGCCTCGAGATGGCTTGCATCAGAAATGCGTTCTGTTTATTTTTTAAAACCATGAGACAATGATTCATTTTATTAAATGATACGAGACAAGTCGAACCATATGAGACAATGATTCATTTTACTACATGATATGAGACCAGACGAGCTCAATTTTTTGAGCTCATCACGCCAAGCTAAGCCCGAGCTAAGCTTATAAACAAACACATCAAGCCCAAACAACCTAAAATTCGGTCAGCTCGGTTCATTGGCAGCTGACTGTAACTGCCTGTCTCTGTGTGATTTGGGCGCGAATCACCTGCAGTGAGGTTCCTATGCGGTTTCATGCTGTAACTTTTAAGTGGTCCATATTTGGCCACATCATTCTTCAGCTAACGGACACTAAGGTCGTGTTTGACCAATTACACCACAACATTTCACACCATTTATAAGTAACATCACAGAGTTTAAAAAGTAACATCGCCACTTTTAATTTCAAATAACACCACTATTTATAAGTAACATTTCACCGCCATTTATAAGTAACACCTCTAAAAAATAACATCACCATCATTTAAATAGCAATTGCACCACTATTTATAAGTAACATTTCACCACCATTTATAAGTAACATCACAGATGTTTAAAAGTAATATCACATAGTCTAACATCACAGAAGTTTAAACTATGTGATATTACTTTTAAACTTATGTGATGTCACTTGGTGAAATTTTACTTATAAATAGTGGTGAAGTAAAACATAGCCAAATCAAGGCCAATTACGGCTCACTGTAGGTGTGATTTATAGCCGTCTCTAGAATGATGCATGCCTAAGAGAGTACACGACAATGCCAAATATATATATATATATATTCATTTCCATACAGATCCTATATATTCATTTCATATATATATATATATATATTCATTTCCATACAGATCCTATATATTCATTTCCATACAGATCCCGATCTTTGCAAGTAAACATTTGTCACGACTGTCCAAGTATTAAAAGGAGCACACTCAATACATCTCATTCACAGCATTTCATTTAAGATACTTTTCATAAAAAAATCCATCCGCCGATTTTAACAAGGAAGAAGCAGCAGCATCCACTAACAAGCAGGAATAATTTCGCAATACAAAACCTAGCTTCCATCATGAATATTTTATACGAATAACAAATGATAGTACAATACTGGACAGTAATCGTATCACACCTGTATGTTCAACCCTCCCTCATTGTGACACTGAAGAAGTGTATCGATTGTTCTCTTTCCACTTTCCTCTCAAAATAATACTATACCGGCACAAAACCAAGGGCCTTTCCGGTTTCACACTAGTTGTCACATGAGTGATCCACCACGGGATTGATAATCTACTGACAAACTGCTCTGACGCTTCATTGCATTGTCAGGTAACCATCTTGCTTCATTTTAAGGAGACTGCTCTCGATATTTCGCAGTACTGGTTTATAGCTGCAATAATTTTCAATCGGATATTTTTAAAAAAATAAGCTCAACAAAGATGTCTTGCAAAATTTGTAAGCATTAAACATCAAAATACTTTCACAACCATTGGAAAAAGATCAGAAAGAGAGCACATACAGGCGTGCAAGACCATTGTATGCTTGTGTGGCTTGTTGGAGTCGTGCCGAGAGCTGCAAGATCTCTGCCGATAGTGCTTCCGCTCTGCTCTGTTCTTTAGCAAGTTGGCCCTATTAACAGGCAACATGCGTATTACTCAAGCTTTTACACAAAATATCAATGGTTGATATTATACTGAACTTTACCCCAGCAAAAACCAGAAAATGAAGTTGTGAAGAGCCAAGATAAGATACAAGAGAGGCCTTCGCTAAATCTAGTTAGCACGGATATGGATAAGAGACAGATACGACACGGCATAGACACGACAATATGGTAAATCTAAAAAATGTAGGACACAAATACAAGGACAGTCAAGGAATAATAAAATGGTTATATTACTATACATACATAAAATAAATAAATATCATTTTACCAGCATTATCATGAATGAAATCACTAATTTGGTGCTTAGAGATTGTTCTTAAAAAAATTAGAAAATTACCCTGCCGTATCCTGAGTGTGTCCCAAACAAGTTCCTGCCATGTCCATCTCATGTCCAACCAGGGAAAAGATACTCAAATTTCTGGACACTTTTAGTTGTTCCGGACATGTGTCCAGACGTGGGACTGTTCGATACTTACCACAGCAAAGCTAGGAGATTCCCAAACTAAAATAGATTGATAACAGCCTAATCTAGTAACCAGTGTTGTAAAAGGCTCAACGCGCATCAAGGCACTAGAGGTCCATTGGAGCCTAGGCGCAAGGCTAGGCGCGTTAAATTACCATTAAAGCATATTCATATTCCACATAAAAAGCGTAAACGTTGTCAAAGGCGCACCTGGGCACACAACAGGCGCAAGAGTTGCACCTGTATGTGCCTGGAGCCTAGGCGCACCTTTAACAACACTGCTAGTAACCCACCCACTCGATCAGTCCCTTCAGCTGTTTTAATTGCAAGCCTACTTTCCTTCTTCCCTGTAACTCACACCTGTACTATCACATGCAAATAGATAAGCACAACAGCAACCTACTACTGCTAAGCCAGAGACTAACCTTGAGGAAAAGAATATCAGCTGTATATGCCTGAGGACTGGACTCATTTCCCACGTCTTTGTTAGCTTCCAAAAGGCCTCCCTCCATCTTCTTATCATTCAATGACGGTGTACTAGCCTGTGCTGCTCTCAAATTATCTAGCATGCCACGGAGTTCCTCATTCTGCTTAAGACAGTCTTTTACCTGCAGTCAAAAAAAAAAATTTGTCAGGCTGACCATTGTTTTGAGGACAGATACCCACCACATTACTCCCAAAATAACTTTTAGGGCGTAACAATTACTAGAAGCATTCTGCATCCAAGGGATGAATGAAAGCATTATTTCGTACTCTTCTCCATGCTATTCTGTTTAGAGGATTATTGAAATCCCATCTCCTAGATATTACTCTAGTCGTTTCCATATCTCAAATATCATCTTATATCAGCTATGTTGTATCGCATAACTCATACACGAATGATAAGCCAAGGATGTTCTTTTATGCAGGCTTCTCTGATGGTTTACATGGCTGCATTGATTCTCCTTAAGCAACTTAAATGGTTGAAACCAATCAGTTGATTGTCAACAAAATCCATAAAAAATATTTAACAAGTGTTCAAGGACAAATTTGGTGGTTTATAATCAAATTTTACCATAACAGCTTCATTATGAACTCCAAATGAATCAGGCAGCCAAACAACTTTCCCTCCAAATTTTCATATTGAGCTATGGAACAAAGAATCTAATGCACCCATTCATTCAAACCTTTAACCAAATTAAGGTTCGCAAAATCAATCCAAAACTACTTTGGGCACCTACAGATCCATCAAAACAGGGTAAAATATAAAAGAAACAACATATAAATGAACATGCACGCATTGCCAAGTCACTAAATCTGCAAGCCTATGCCTGTCAATCATCAAGCACTGTACCTGATTCTCCCAGTGAACCACCACACCCATTGCCTCTTGATAAGCAGATGAGAGGTTAGAATTTTCTTCAAAAAGCCTCTCAATCTCCGAAGATTGGGAATCAATCTGTCAACAAGATTAAGAAGCAAACTGTAATTTTCCAATTTAGGTACTAAATTATTAAAATGAAAGCAAAGATAGTACCTCCATTAGAAGTTTCTGTCTACTACTCTCCAATCTCTCAACCACCACTGCCATATCATGCAATTGCTTCTCAAGTTTCTCCTTGTCTTCCTGCAAAAGTAGAAAGATATCAGTGGGATCATAATAACAGTCATACAACACTGGTCCCTCAGCACATCAATGGCATGACGGTGCATAAGCAGTTGATCAAGTATCATATGAAAAAAAAAATTTGGCAAGGGGTGACAGTGAAATAAAACTGGGGGACAAATCTAGAGAACTATGGTCATAATCAAATTTACCACTCATAGTTTAAGTCTCAATTGGACAGTCATATTCATCGAAACAACAATATGGCACTAGACAAAATCTAATCCAACCTCAGGGATATAATAAAAGTTTTCAACTCAAACAGATATATTTAACAATTTAGATTTTCAACAAGAACTGATGATTGATGTTTACACCATAATTAGAAAGAAAGAGGTTGTTATCTCAATAAAAAAAGGCCATAACCACTTGTTTTCCCATTATTAATTCAGGATGCTGGAAGTGGCAGATTAAATATAAACACATTTTATTTACAACAAGGTGCTGCCGTCAAACTTGAACTTGCATTCTAATGCTACTAAAAATACACTTACCAAAAAATTCCTACAAGTATCAAATCAAATACGTTCACTCACCATTGAAAATGCCTTATGAGCAGCTTTTTCTGAAACGTCTTCTGCATTAAACAGGATGGGGTCATAACACAAAACTCGCCTCAAAAAAAAATAAATAAAAAAGATCCAAAAGAAAAGCTTTACAGAAAGAAATTACCTAGCACAAAAGAAAAATCACTATAAGAAAAAGATGATGTATCTACTTCAAATAGTGCACGTCGAAATCAGCAAAAAAAATAAGAACATTGTTGAAAACTGTAGAAACAGATTTTAATCAAAAACATATTTTTTTCATGAAATGAATTTAACTCAATTTGACTTAAATCCTTTTTCCACCAATCTAGGGTTGGATAGAAAAATTTATTTTGCCATTCCCCTATCTAAGATGTTACTTCAGTTAACCACATGCTACCGTATCTCTCAATTGGACAGTTACTTCAGTTAACCACATCCTACCGTATCTTTCATTGCTACCCAATCCATGCTAATTTCGATATGTCCCTCCCAAACATTGCGCTCAATTGTACCGTGCCACTCTTCATTACTAGTGTAGTAATTAATCACACTATGGTCAACCCATCTTAATTAATTTTCACTCATTTTATCTCAAATGGAAACTACTTCAATTGTTTCACGAACTTGTTCATTTCTAATTTTATCCTTCATATTTTTTCACACATCCATCTCAACATTCACATTTTGGCCAACACTTGATCCTTACCATGTGGTCACACATCCATCTCAACAAAAATTTGATAAAAATTTACCTTGCAATTTTAATGCATCATAACACAGAATATGCCAAAAGCTATGCTTCAATTTACCAATCCTGCATTAATTATATGTTTTAACCCTGTTTCCAATTTCTAGTTCTACTAAAGTTGCATTTCATCAATTCAGTTTTAGTTCTACTTATCTTAAACTCTCTTGGTTCTAATTCAGCTCTAATTTCATCAATCAAAACAATAACATCAAATAGCATACACCATGGAACCTTATCCTAAATGTGTTTTGTTAGTTCATCCATAACTAAGGTAAAAGATATGGACTTAATGTCAATCCTTGATGCAAGTCTGTATTAATTGAGCTCAAGGGTATAGCTTTGATTGTCTTTTAGCTTTGTATATGGGATGCGCCCCTTTTGGGCACTCTTCTATAATATGTTACTTATGAATCAAAAATGTTTGTAGCAATTGAGAATTGATTTCTTCATCCCACAATTGTTTTAACTACACTCCCTATTGCATCATACATGTCCTTTATTATGTTAATATATCCACTTGTGACTTTTCTTTTCTAAAATTGACCCGCTTTCTGCAGATCAATAACTGCCATACAAGTACCTTTATTCTTTCTTTTTTTCTTTTTATTTTTATAAGTACTACAAGTACCTTCATTCTTCCCTCCCAATATTTTCAATAATCTTCTCAATAAGTAAATAACTTCCATTATTGACCTCCACATATAAATCCAAAATGAAACTTTAAAATTGTATTTTTCAAGTATTAATAAATGCACATTCACTTTCTCCCATATATGACTAATCATTTTGTTGCTAGAACAATTTATACAACTTTGAATATCCAGATTCGTTTGCTGATCTCCTCAAAGTTGCCATAATCTTCTAAACCTAAGCTACCTGTGTGATTCTAATTAGCAACATTTCAAAGTAATTCCAACCTTTCTCTATTTTCATCATATTTCACTAAAACTCTTATATTCTCACTTTTGATACACTAAAGATTATTAAAATCTCCAGTTTTCCTCTTGTTCAATTTAGCAAGTTAATATATACACTTCTCACTGTTTTTCCATATTTGTATTTTTCAAAAGTTTGTTCATTTCTAGCTTTTTGGCAAACTTTGTAACTCCCTTTTGCTTGTAGCTTTACAATGATCCAATCCCAAGGTCCACCTACTCATGAATTGAAAACTATTAGATACTTTAGGCAGACCTCTCTATTGAGTTAGGCAAATGACAATCACTAGCAGGTGGGAAAAAATAGTTATGCCTAAAACCGATATATTTCCCACTTTCTCAGTTGTGCTCAAGGTGAGCCACATATTCAACAGTCTAGATAGATTACTCACTTAAAGGTACAGAGATAAAATTAATAAATAATCCAAGATGGATATCAAAACCATTTAATGTAATATTTTTCCCCTAAAAAATTGAGGTAGTTATAGCTGCAAGTTGATTGGTGATACCTGACGCCCTTTTGGAGATAACTGCAAGTTTCTCCTCCAACTCCTGCTTTTCAAACATTAGGGTAGATGTCCGGGCTTGTTCCTCTGCCAAACGTTGTCGCTCTTGCTGCCTCAGAAGTGACTCTTGCTGTAATTTTGATCAATTATGATATAAACATAAATACATATTCCAACAGTAAATGTGGAAAATTTCAACTACATTCTAACCTCTAACATGGATTTTATACTGGCTAGCTCCTTTTCCATGGATTGTATGTGTTCGGCTGAATTTCCCATTGAGGTCATGCCACCAAGTGAACCACTCATTGCTTGTTGCTGTAACAAATTTAATTCTGCCCTCAATGCTGCTGAATCCTCCTCTGCCTATTGCCAGAGAATTAATAAGTATATTATTAAGTGGTATGTTATGGAAAATTAATCAACAGAAACAGCTAGCATACCCGGTATTGTTCTTCTTCTGCTTCCTTTAAACGTTTCTTCATTGTGCGAAGCTGAGCTGAGAGATCCTCCTACACTAAAATATCATAGTTTGTCGGTGAAGCATAGAGAATAGTTAATGTGAAACTTCGTAAAAACCTAAATGTTTAGATTTCGTGTACCCGTGCAACAACTGCTGCATCTTTCTCCATTGCAACATCCTTAAGAGCTTTCCTTAAGGATGGTACCGTACTCTGTTCCTGCAATTTACAATGGAAACAAAAGACAATGACTTGGTGTACTTGTAACAGTGCGCATATATATATTGAAATAATATTAAGGACTAGATAGCCAATCTATTATAATTAAATCATTTTTCCTTTAAATGGTTAAATAAAAAATGAAGTAGTTTTTAATTCGAATACGATAAATCTCAATTTCATTCTGCCCTATCAATCACAAGTGTCTGAACCTAGGTCACACAGAGTGGGTGCGGGTGCAGAAGCAGGAGCACGAAAGTAGCAAAGTCTAAGTCACACATAGTGGGATCAGGAGCAAGATTGTGCACGGAGCACAAAAGCGGGAGCGCAAGCAGAGCAGGAGAGCGGCACCCATATAGAAGAATTATGTGACTTAGGTCTGAACTCTTCATAGTTTTACCACACCACAGTAATGCTACTTGCTCGATTAACAACATAAGAAAGTAATGCATATGGTTAAAATCATCTAACTGTGCAAGTGTGACATTGAATATCCATTGGCAATGGATTCAACTCCACTCGAGATTGTGTAACCTTTTTTCCCACAATTGACAAACCGAAAATAATCCACCAAAGCAATATCACAAACGTATTTAACAACAGTGTGTATAGAGAAACTATATGCCTTCTATTTACCAGCTCATTCAGATGTTTCTGCAGCGCATCATTCTCTGATTCTTTTGCTTGAAGCTAAAAAACAAATAAAAATAAAAATTTTAACATGATAAAAGCAAATTTATCATCTAAAATAAAAAATAGTAGTCCATTTGATAATTGTATACCCTTGAGATCAGTTTCGTGTTATCTTCTTCCAATTCAGTGTTCTTCATCTGCATGTCTTTTAGCTGAGATACTAAACCACTAACATCATTCTGCAATATTTTTCAAAGAATGTCTATATCAAAACCTACAGTTATTGCACAAAGTAAATAAAAAATTTATAAATAAAATTGGTCACTTAAATCAAAGCTCCCAGCTGATATCTCTCATAACCCAAAAGTTTTGTGTTGTCATGGAATTCCAAATTTCCCTAATTCTCAGGGTGAAAGGCCACTCGAGATAAAAATAACAAACCAAATTCCCCCTTATATTTTTTCCCGGAGAAGTTTTACAAGGACTATTTTTTTTCTGAAACCAATTTTAGCATCAAAAGAAATTTGCAATAGGAATAAAAATCTAGAATGAAATTTTCGCCAAAGCCACCAAATTTTTTTTTAAAAATAATAATGAGAAAGAAAAAAATAAAAAATATTGATTTTACCTCTGATGAGAGTCTATTTGCACTTTCAGACCTTTTCATCCCTAAAACATCTGTGCACACATGGATACAAAATAAATAAAAAAATAAAATAGTTGATATCTATAATGTCAATGAATTATTAATAATAACAATAATATAAAAATTAAATTTACGACTAGAGAGAGAGACCATTAGGGTTTAAAGCATTGGTCAGATCTGGGCCAGAGGAGGTTTTGCTTAACCTTTCTGCTGCTCTCTTTTGACGAATTTCTTCCAACTGAAAAAATAAATATAATTTGTTTATCGATAAACAAAATAAATACGCATTCACAAAATTTCAAAAAAAAAAAAAAATTATTTTTGAAGAACTTGGGAAGATGGTGATGAGAAGATGATTAGATCTGTACCGTTCGTCGACCAAGGGTAGCGTGACGTGCCTCCATGACTCAGAGAGAGTGGATGTTTATTTCTCTGCAAAACGTCTATATAGGAAGGGTCTCTTTTATAGAGAGAGAGGGGGGGGGAGAGAGGAGAGGGAGAAATCGACTTCGCGGTCGGTCTCGGACGGCCAACCGTCGACTTCTTTATTCAAATGCCAAAGAATGAGCGATTAGCAGGCTTTGGAAACCTTTCTCAGTTTATAATTCAAAGAACCATTCAATTTGAAATAAATATTATATTACTCCTATTTTCCCAAAAAAAAAAAAAAAAAAAAAAAGGAAAAATGATATTTTAGGCGACAAAAAAACAAAAAAAACTTACAAAATACCGACAATAAATAAATAATTCTCTCAAGCACCCCATATCATATTAAATATAGTAAGTTTTCTTTAGACAAAAATATCATTGCAGCAATTTTCTTCCATGTCTTCACCTTTTTCTCCCTGGACTCTCTCTGTTTCGTGTTTTTACTTTTTTTCTTTCCTGACTCTCTGTATGATTAATTTATTTCCTTTTTTATGGTCTTCATCTTTTTTCGCTCTGTATGTTAATCCTCTTTATATTTTTCTTTGAAATTTTGCTCTTTATAAAATATTTTTATCCTAATTTGTTGTCTTAATATCATATAAGATTTCCACCCAAGAAAAAATAGACAAAAAATAAAAGAGGAGATTTTGGATGGAAGATTTTCAATTTTCTTTCACACCCAACTTTAAAGCAATTAATATCTAGATTTGTGGAATTTTGTTAATTTTTTTTCTCTCATCTCTTATATATACACACACTAAGAAAGAAGAGTAAAGTAAGATGAGAGAAAATAATTAATAGAAATTCCACAAACCCAAATCTTTAAAGCTTCAATTTGATCGTAATTTGAACAAATTTTGCCGTCAAATTGGTGCTCGATTGCTCTGGCAGTAGATAATCACTATCTCTGCCGTGTCTAAGATGATGATTACAGATATTCACGGTCTTCGCCATGTCTCCGATGATGACGGCAGTTTCACGGTGTTCTACATAGAGAATGTGGAGAGAGGATGGACATTATCTCTTTATTTAGATAGAAAGAGAAAAGATATTTTCTAATTTTTATTAACAACTGTGTTGATATATTTAGATTTTAAAGCAACCCATACAATAGCATACACGTTAAAAGTTGTAATATATCCCGTTTTTTTAAGTCTGGGCGAAATAGCAGTAGTCAAAAAAAAATGACAACAATTTAATTTGTTGTCTGGCCCGTCTGGGTGGTGAAGTCGTTTATCACGCTCTCTTTTCTCACCTCAAACAGAGAATCGAATTGGGATACGATAGATTTTTTTTACTCATCCATGAAAATGTCATATTTGCACATTGTGGCATTTTCGCAGTGACTATTTAGCTGGGACATGATGCAAAGTTTATTATATACTTTTTTTTTTTTTTTTTTTTTCTTTCACAAGTGTATTTATTTTATTCAAACTATCAATTATTTGAAATAAGATGTATCGGACTTTAATTATGGACCTCCAAAATTCAATCTAATTGTGGCTAAAGGTTTCTAATGACATGAGAAAACTACCATAATTTTTTCCAAATCATTTCTCCAAGTGTTCTTAGGATTTGATTTTTTAATCATCCATGAAAATGTCTTATTTGCACATTGTGGCATGTTGGCATTCCACTCGTGCCCCTAATTTGCTATTTAGTTGTCAAAGGCCTAGCCAAGCCTCCTCGGCCTTATAGCTTAGAGTGTGAGTAGGATATTGGGTGAGTCGCACATGTCATGTTATTAGTGTGTCTATCCGATTACAATATACCATTCAACCAAATGAGTCTCACTCAAATACAAAAAAACTTACTTTCTTCAACTATATTGAATGTTATACTCTAATTGGGTGAGCATGCTAATAATGTGCGATGTCAAGCTCAAATTTTAACTTTTAACATTTTTTTAAACTTAGACCTAGTTTGGTATGCATTAATGAAATAGAATCGAATGAGCATTTTATTTCAACCATTCTCTTGTTTATACTCTAATTGGGTAAGAATAATTTTTCATTCCAATGAATGAAATTTTTAGACACCACTATCGCCACTACCTTCCACCACAACCACCATCTTTCATCACCATCACTGCCGTCGCCGCCACTTACACCACAATTGCCACCTTTCAACATCATCGTCGTCACAGAGCCACCACCGCCTTCCGCCACAACCGCTACCAACTCCACCGCCCTTTAGCGCCTTCCCCACCACTCCCACTTCCACCCCACCACTCATAATGGTAATTATTATTTTATTTTTACATCATTTCATATTACAACCAAACAATCTAATATAACGAGAACTATCATTTTATTCCATTTTTATTTTTATTCCATTCCCAACTTTATTCCTGTCTATCAAACTATGCTTTATAGAATCAAATTGTAACTTCTCAATTGACTTTGACCACACTACATGCCCGAAAAACATGTGTTTTCTTTTTGCACTGTCCTACTGTTAGGAGGGTTTGGAAAATGAGTTGTCTGGCATCAGTACTTGTTCTTCCCCCTTCTCGGGCTAATGTAAAAAGGCTTACCAGAGCTTGAGGATATTTTTGGTTTAATTGCTCATTTTTTTGGGAATTCATGGAAGAGTGGGAACATTTTTATGTTTGAAAAGAAAACAGTGAAAGATGACATTCTACTATCATCTATTAAGTGATTAACCAATAAATTATTACATGACTCTGCTACGCAAGTAAAATACTTAATAAACTTGTTTGAATTATATAATCTCGATCATATAATAATTAATTCTTTTGATTAGAACTATGTAACAATTTCTCGAGTATAAAGACGTCAACTTTGCTGCAAATTATAAATGAGATAACAATGCCAATGTAGCCGCTTCAACACCATTATGCTATATTTGATCGGAGGGAGGGATTGAGTATGGATGGATGAGAGAGGGGATAAAAAAACTTTTTTGTGTTTGGTTGGAGGGAAGGGAAGAGAGGAGGGACGAAGCTTCCCTCCCTCTTTTGTAATTTTCTATCTGTCTAAAATTGAGAGGAAGAGAAAAGAGTAAAAAAAAAAGTAATAACTAGCATAAATATATATTCTTCATTTCTAACCTTCCTAAAACAATTGGAATAGATATAAAATTTTTAGAATTTTAAATAATAAGTGCATGTTAGTATAAATAATATAAAAACTATTTTTCCCTTCCTTCCAATCAAAAAATAAATAAATAAATGTGTCATCCCATCCATCCTTTCTAATATATATTTCATACAACAATCAAACAAAAAATGAGAAAAATACCATCCCTTCCTTAAGGACCTCATCCATCCCATCCTCAATCTCTTCAATCCATTTTTCTCCCTCCAACTAAATAGAGCATTAGGGTTGGTGGAATCTTTAAAGGTTAATTTTGATGCATGATTTGATGTTACAACTGCGATTAGGCAAGATAAATTGCATATTTGAAATAATAGTTCGTGCACTTTGAACGGACCTCAAGAAACTCCTTTGGACTAGTTTGGTATGGAAGAATGAAATAAGATAGGAATGGAATGAACCATAGAATGGAATGAATATGAGTAATGATACTACAACCAAATTTAATCACCGATGAAATTACCACATCACTCACTCATTCATTAAATGAAAAATTCTACCATTTTAAAAAGACTACTTTTACCCTCAAAATATCATCCAAACCCTTCCACGTTTTCTCTCATCATCCAGTCTTTGTGTTCAAAATGGCGCTCTCTCTCTCTCTCTCTCTCTATATATATATATATATATCAACCATAACCCCATCGTCTCATCAATAAGTATGCAATTTCCCTCCATGATCTACAATCTTTAGATAATCCGATTGGGTCAAGCGATGAACAAGGAAGGTTGTATCATCATCCAACATTCAATTTAACAATTCACTAGAAAAATTAATGGTGACCCATCAAACCAGCAAATAAATCATAATTTTTCTTCTCTCTTCTCTCTCCGATTCTAACTCTCTCTCTCTCTTCAATTTTGCACCTCTCACGTAGATGCCCTAATCTCTAACTTCATTAGGGCTTTTTGAAGGAAAATGTCTCTACTCATCTATGTCATGGTGTACTGTTGATTTGTGTCTTCTTTGAATAAAAAAGACAATAGAAATGAATAGATAATTTGAAAAGTTTGATGGGTCATTGAGAAGGAACAAATTTGAAAGTCTTTTAGGGAGAGATGTGACACTAAGGGATTGTGGCAGTGGAGGAGTTGGGGCAACACAGAGATGGTGGTGGTGGAGAGAGTTGGGGCAACACAGAGATGGTGGTGGTGGAGAGGTGGATAGGACAGTGAACAGAAAGATGGTGGCGATGGAGGTGGAAAGGCGGGTAGGACAGTTATAGAGGTGTGGAAATTTTGAGAGAAAAATAAGGAAGAGTTTGGATGAAATAAGGAAGGGTTTTGAGTGTGTGATGCGGCAATTTCGGGTCTTATTTGGTAATTAAATTCGGTTGCCGTATCATTACTCTTTTTAATATTATTTTTACTCCGTATTTTTTTACGTATTTTTTAAGTGAGGATGAAATGTCCATTCCTCTTGTTGGAAAGTGGAATAATTTTGATGGAATAACCATTCTCCAAGAAAGGTGGAGAATAAGCATTCCATCTTTAAAATTACTTTCCAAACAAAAGAATAGAATTAAAAGCATTCCATTCCACTTTATTTCATTCCATTCCCACCTACCAAACTAACCCTTTGTGCTTAAAAAGGTTTGTAATATGAAATGCTTTTCATTAATTAGAAATATATAACAAGTTTATAAAAATACAAATAAATAAAAAGACTAATAGAATTTGAAATAATGTAAATATATGATTAATTAATGATATTAGATGTCAACGAGTTTGAAAAGTTAATAAGATAAACACTTATTAATTAATTTTTTATTAATTAGAAAGATATATATATATATATATATATATATATATATATTATTTTGTTGCAAATAAATAATAAATTTATAAAAATACAAATAAATAAAGGGAGACGATATTCATACTCTACTTTTCTTTAATTGCGCTACATTTATCATTTTCTTTTAAGGAAATGACAAGAAAGTTTTTGAATTCATTAATGCACAATTCCTTAATTTATAATATCATAACTACCCTCTACACAACTTAATTTTTTTTTTTTTTTAACCTTCTTTACTATTTTTTTTCCCCTTTCTTTTTGTTTTTTTTTCGGAGATCCTCTCAAAGAAAATAATTTATTCTATACTAATAATTTTATTTTTACACTCAAAAATGATAATTTAGATATATTTTTTTAATCATCTTCCTTTTGTACTTTTTATTTTTATTATTATTTTTTTTGGATCTTGACAATAGAGATAATTTATTCAATAAATATATTTTTTTGGAGTTTTTTGTTCATATCAAAAGAGACAATTTTTTAAACGGAAGCTTTTTATTTTTTTATCCTGCCAAAAGTGGCAATTTATTCAACATAACAAATTTTTTTTTTTTTTTTTGGGTCCCTCAAAAAAAATTATTCAAATTTTATTTTATTTTATTTGTGATGTCAAAAGATACTTAAAATATTAAAAATTAAAGATAAAGAGAGAAAATATTAAAGGACAGTTGTGTTATTTGAAAAGTAATAATTATTTATTTATAAAAAGTAAGGTTAGAATTGTCATTTCATTTAAGATTGTAATACAAATATTGAAAAATAGAATGCCAATATTGCCTTCCTAAGTAAAAGGCTAAATAAAAGGGCCAACAGAATTTGAAAAAATATAAAATTGACTTCGTAATTTGAAAGGTTAGTAGGAACACAGCAATCTTTCATTAATTAGAAATAAATAATATGGAGTAATAATGAATGTTTTTAATTGATTATTTATGCATATTTACAAGTAAGTGTAGGCTCACTCCTTTATTTGTTGTATAGATTAACCAATTAAAAATCACTATCTTATTTGATTAAAAAAAAGTAAAACTCAGCAATTCATTACAACAAATTGATACAAGAATCATTTTCCATAACAATAAAAAAAGTTCATAAAAGTACAAATAAGTAATAGGTCAACAAAATTTAAAATAATATAAACATATGATAAATTATTTGTTAGAAATGTATACCTTCGTTAATTAGAGATAAATAATAATAATAATAATAATAATAATAAAATTCATAGAAGTACAAACAAATAATGGGTCAGCAAGAACAAAATTTAAAATAATGTAAACTTATGATAAATTATTTGTTAGGAATGTATACCTTCATTAATTAGAGATACATAATAAAGTTAATAAAAGTACAAATATGTAATAGGCCAACAAAATTTAAACTAATGTAAAAAACACATGATTAGTTATTTGTAAGAAATGTATACAAAATATAAAAAAAATTAATAATTTATATATAGATCGACGTTGGTAAGAATTTTTTTTTTTTTTTTTTTTTGCTAATGTTGGTAAGAAATAAATATGAAGTTTATAAAAAAGGCAAATATATAAAAGACCAACTGACTTTGAAAGAATATAAAAATCAGACTAATTGGATATATAAAATATATTAAGCTTATATATATAGATCGATGTTGGTAATAAATAAATGATAAGTTTTTAAAAGACATATAAATAAAAGAATATATATATATATATATATATATATATATATATATATATATATATATATATAACAGACTAATTGGATGTAAAAAATATATTAAGCTTTATATATAGATCGAGGTTGGAAGAGAGAAACAATTAGTCTATAAAAAGACAAATAAATAAAAGACCAACTGACTTTGAATGAATATAAAAATTAGACTCATTGGTGATTTGAATACTATTTTTTTTTTTTTTCCTTTATTTAAATGACAAATATACACTCCCTTTTAAATAAATGCACTATCATTGCATTTCTTTTCTTGCCTTTTTCTTTATTTAAATAATAAATCTATGTTTTATATTTAACAAAACTTGTCATTTCATTTTCGACCGTACTTACTTATTCACGGGTTGATATGGTTGATCAGAAATACACTTATATCATTTAATTACAAGTTTAGAAAAGTAATAAATAAAGAAAATGGAGTCAGATATTTTAATTTATTTATTTTTGTTAGGAGTAACTAAAGACGACGTGTTAAGATTAGATCACATAAATAACTAAAAGGGATTACCTCTATTGATTAGTGAGTAGGTAAGTAACAAGTATTGTGCATTCATTTTGAAAGGGGGATGGATGTATTTGTTTGAAAGGAAAATACATAACGTAAAAATATAGGTAAATTATAGTGATCATTTTTTTATCCCCCTAAATTATAGTGATCTTTCTCGAGATTTTGAAAAATTATACATATGTAGAGTACTTAGTCTTTATTACTTTGATCTCATATGAGATTTGACTCTTGTGATTAATGACACTTTATTAAAAATTTAAAAAATGACTAAGTTGCCCTTTAATTGTATCAAAAGATCTCAATAACCTCATATTTTGGCATGAAATGATAAAAATATCATTAAATGCCATCAAAATGTAAAATATCAATTTCTTACTAATTTTATATTATTAAATTTTATAAAATTAAATATATTTTTTTGTTCATGATATTTGATTAGGTTTATTTATTTATTTATTTTTTAAAAATAAAATAATAATACAGCCTTTACACGATGAGAAAATAAATAAAAGGGTAATAGAGTCTTTTAGTTTGATAAAAAATAAATAAATAAATAAATAATATAGCCTTTACAAAATGAGAATATAAGTAAAAAGGTAATAGAGTCTTTTAGTTTGATAATTTTTTTTTATTAAATTATTATTAAATTAAAAAAAGATATGAAAAACTTTGTACGCTTTAGGTCAGCGTAATTTACTCTAGAAATATAGGTTTGAAATGTGATGGGCTTCAAAATTTAGCAATCAGTTAACAAGTTTATTCGAAAAGGCCACATCCCCAGTCCCCACCTAGTGACGAAGTCGCACTCATAATAAAGCTTGAAGTGTGTGTATATAATGCGTGTGCGGGTAATGTATAGACACATAGTTAGAGTGTGTAGAGAGACAGACAGAGAGAGGCCACGAGCTCAGATTCCCGTGACAGTCTGTCGTATCTCATGGCCTTGTTTCCGTGTTTAGTTTAGTGCTCATCCAAACTCTACCATTTTCTTCTGTTGCTATTCTCTACCGCCCAAATCTCTCCGCCCACCGGAGATAGATCAACTCCGTCGTCTCCGATTACAATGGCTGCATCGATCATCGAATCTGGTTGGCTGGTATTGTTTTCCAACTACTTCAATTCTTCATATCCTTTGTTTTTGCCCTAGATTCACTCACTTTGCTTCAAATTTCTTGTTTCATAACCATGCATTGCTAGTTCTCGATCTATTGAATCAACAAATATACTCTCAGACACTTAAAATAGTCTGCTTTTTCAAACGTACCCTATTTCCGAGATATATATCTATCTTTATATATTATGAATGATAGGCTGAAGCAGATTTGTTATATGATATTAGTAAGTAGTTTTAGTCAATTGAATCGATAATTCTGTAGGTTCGTCTGCTTTACACAATATATGGTTATATGGTGGACTCTTGGTACTTAATTGAAGTTCATAAGGTTCTGTATCAGTGTATCTATAAATAGTTGGCACCTTGCAATGGAGGAAGGGGCACCGGTATGGAAAAGGTTGAGATTTGATGTACCTAGACCATTATAAACAGCTTATTTGAGTATGCATTGCCTAGGACTGTCTGCTTTTAGATCTCTTAGGCAGTGGAAAATTAATCTACGGAAAGGGATAAATAAACTGTGAGGATGGCCAGTTTTATCTCAAAGCTTATGCCAATTTATATATGCCTAATGTCTTGCCCTAGTTCTTTGAACCCATGTGCTAGTATTTACCACACATAACCACATAATCTATCCCTCTTTCTTTCAGGTATCCTTTTTCTTTGCGGAGAATTTAGTGAATAGCAGGCTTATGCATAATGTAGCACAATTTAAATTGTTTGAACTAAAACTTTTATCATTCCTTTAGATAAAAGGACTTGTGTATTTTTGGAATGATAAGTCTGACAAAAAAAGAAAAACAGAAAGAAGCTTGCCTTTTGCCTTTATATGATATCATCAAATATGTTGACCCAACACTGAATCTTGATTGAGATTATCTGTGTTGGAAATTAATATTTGCTTTAAGAAAGAAAATTTGTCTCAATTCAATGTTGAGATTTTCGTGATTTCAAATGATGGTCGGTTGCATGGTTTAATTTTTATTGCGGGTTTCTTGCTCTATGCAGTCCTAATTGTTATTATCTAAATCTAATTATCATTTTGTGAATTTGTTATTCGTTTATTGTGCAGTATGTAATCAGTCATTTCAGTGACTTTCAACTGGCATGTCTCGGAAGTTTCTTTCTTCATGAAAGTGTATTTTTCTTATCGGGACTTCCCTTTATATATTTTGAAAGGGCAGGGTGGCTGAGCAAGTATAAGATTCAGGTTTTACTTTTACTCTACTGACTTTTCTGCCAATGGTGAATTGGAATAATTAAAAAATTTCACGTGATGATAAATTTTCAAGTTGAATTAGTGATTGGCATTCTATGTGTTTATCATTTGCAACATGATGTTCTTCCTTTTCTTTTATTTTTACATTTGTTTTGGGCCTTGTGGCATCGCTTTAGTTTCAATTTTTTTTTTAGCTTGCTTAGTATCTACAAAAAGGACTAGTGCCTCTAAGGAAACTCATGCTCCAACCATGGCAAGCTTTTTATATTCAACTCAACTGTTTCAATTTACATATTTTTCATGTGTAGTCTTGTAGGATATTAGCTGTGATACTGTTTTGTTGATATGCTGCTTAACAATGTGGAAATGTGTATCTGGTAGGCCATTTAGAACTTAGCATATAGAATTTACTTCTTAATAATGTGGAAATGCATATCAGGTTTTACATGTTTTTATAGTTATTCATGTCTTCAATTTTAATAAATTGTAATTGGAGCATGTGCTATTGCATGCACCTCGTCTTACATCATTTCTCTCTCTTTTCTTTGGTTATCATCACTTATTAACTCTGCAGTTTATTTGAGATGATGTAACAAATCGTTGTCATGGATGATGTAACATATCGTTTTTTTTTTTTTTTATAATTACTTGTATGTGCCTCAAAGAAGTGGCAATTATGTCATAGGTGGATTATAAATTTCACCAAAGGAGAAAAGTTGGTGTATTGAAGGTTTTAAATAATGGTAACAGCTATATGGTATATTTTTACTTATCAAAAAAAAAAAAAAATTGGTTAGAGCCATCTTAACGATAACGGTTGCGGTGACATGGATGCAAGCTGTAACACATAAGGTTACTAATGTGACTACCAGAGTCATGAATTTTTCTTCATTGCACAGCTCCCTGAAACTGTACCTACACATGCTTAATCCTAGAGCCCATTGGAGTTTTAATAAATTTTAATGAATCTATGAACTTATATGGATGATTCACATGGATGATGAATTTTATATCGAATTTTAAGTTGCTATAACCGAGAAACGATTCACATTCGGGTAATGGCTGTAGTAGCACCAATTGGAGATAATCGGTTAAGATGGTTTAGACATGTGCAAAGAAGAGCTTTAAGTGCGCCAGTTAGGAAAAGTGACATAGTCGCATTGAGGGTAATATTAGGGGAAGAGGAAGACCAAAGTTAATGTGGGTAGAGTTAGTAAAGAAAGATGTGATAGCATGTGGAAACATGGGATTCATGTAGCCGACCCCAAGTAATTGGGAAAAGGCTTGGTTGTTGTTGTTGTTGTAGTATAACCCAGAAGCCCGATTCATAATATATATATATATATATATTTTTGATGAGTAAATAATTTAATTAAATAGTTATTTACTAATACTGACTAATGGAGTGGGGATTCGAACCTGGGCCTTTGGCCACAAGCAACACATGCTCTACCACTGAGCTATCACACCACATCCATATATATATATATATTTTACCAAAAATGCATTTAAACATGAAAAAGAAAACCTGAATGTAATGCTAATTGGATTTTGCGAACTCATTGCTTACAATGTAGAAATGAAAAGAGTTCAAATAATCATGTGAGGATGCCATAATAAATTATTTGTGGTAATCATTCTTTAAGAAGAAAAGAACATTAGAATTCCGTCTATTTATTTGAGGTTTTCTCTTCCATATGCATGTTCGGGATTAATCTCATATTCATGCGATGTAGATGATACCTTAGATTATGGAAGTAATCCTCACCTTTTAAAAGCTCCACGACAATTACCAATCAGTTACATTTCCTAGAATGCATCTCTTTCTTACCATACCTTGTGTAAACTTTCTCCTTTTCCTCTCAATTCTCACCACTAACTAATAGCCTATGACACTTCCAATACTCCTGTTGACAGTTGACAGCCTCCAATAAAACTCAATTGCAACAGTCAATTTTCACCTCCTCTGCCAACCATTTACTGTGTTAGGTCAATAGGACTTTGGTTGGAATAATTTGTCCGAAACAGAGTTTGTAATATTGAATTTGGCTTTTGTTACCAACAGGCCTATGGCCTAGCGGTACTAGGCCCCTACTTTCCAAAGGGAGGTTAGGAGTTTGAGCCTCCATGGAGGCATGTGTGTGTGAGTACAACTAAGGAAAAAAAATGGCTTTTGTTTATGTTTTAAAAGTTAGATAAGTTTGTTAGTTGAGTTACCTCTGTCCAAGGGAAAATTGGAGAATTCAAATCTTCAACAAGGGCAAAAAAGGTTTGGTCAACTCGACATTGTGCACTCACCAATTTACGGTTCATGTGCATTCATTCATGTGATTGCATGTTCGGTTTTATAAGCTGCATGTTTAGATCTTCATAGTTTTTAAAAATGCATTAAACTGTTTTTGGAAATCAGAATCCTAATAAAACTAACTAGAGTAGGTTTTAACTTTTATCTGTAGATCAAGGATGCAAAACAGCAGTTACTAAATCCGATTAATTATTTTTAATCCTAATCTTTTCATCCTCCATAGTCTATATAAAGAGCCTATGCTTTCAGAAAACCTATGCCAGCACACACCAAGCATATTGAGAGCATATTTGTAGAGCTTCAAATTTTTTTTTTTTTTTTGGTGAGGTATAGACTGCATCCTAGCAATTTAATTGCTGGAGTTTGTTTCATTCATCATTCATATAGATGGTGTGTGTCGGAACATATATTTTAGCATGACAATCAATTCGACCACAAACAACCATAGACTAGTCATTGAAAATTAAATCACTGGTGGAAGAGGGGATCGCTTGAGAAGTGGATTCATTGTCTACGCAGAGTTTGGCCATTTAGGTGGAGTTTTTGGTGTGAGCTGGTCAGAGGTAACTAGGGGATTCTTGGGATTAGATTTTGGTAAACCCAGTGTGTAATAATACATTTTTTTGTTAGTGGATCTGATCTTCTTTAACTAGATACTGTGAATTTTTTCTATGAAATTTTCCACGTAAAAATCAGTGTTCATGTGTGTGGATAACATTTTGCTTTATATTTCTGCAAAATCTGCAATCTATTTTTTACATGTTTATTGATAAATAATTTAATATCAGTTAATCGTGATAATTGAATTTTAAAAATTATTTAAAGTTAGATATTGTGTTTTCAATATCTATTCACCTTCCTCTAAATCTGTTTTGGGCATAGCATACAGAACATAGGGCAATGAACCTTATTATAAATCTGGACCAATATCTGTAAATAATCTTAAAAAATCTAATATCAGACAACAAATATATGTAAGTTTTAACTTTAATAGTGTGGAAAAATAGGGAAAGAAATAGATTTATCCCAAACTTTTGATTGAAGATTTAAGTTTAGATATTGTGTATCAATATGTGCTTTCTTTATGTTTTAGAAGCTGAAACTGTTTAAAAAGAAAGTCGGGAAAAAGTGGCAAAATTGAAATTTGTAAACCTCGCCTTGTGAATCTTTTGTTAAGGCGCCATAAGGACATGCAATGGTCGTTACAACACTGTAAACAGCCATTGCGGTTGTGATTTTAGTAGGACAGTATATTGGATCTGTAATGATATTCTCGTTACACCATTAGGGTATGTGATGGCCAAAAATGAGCCTCATGTGTGATATATTTTAGTATTGATTTGTGTTTTCCCTGACGCAATCTAATCAAACTGCTGGGGGAAAAGCTCTATGTATCTCCTTTGTAATAGCAGATGCTGTCTTAATATAGCAAGTCTTACAAGTTGTCAAGTTGTCTCGCGTTAATAATTTAAGACAAAAAAACCCCAACAATTTCTTGACAGTACCAATGGGATATGTAATATATTGTCATCCTCTCTGATGTATCATGCTTGTTTTGTCCTCATCTTGCTGGATCTGTACTTACAAGTGTCATTATTGATTTCTGGTCCAATGCAGACAAAAAATAACACACCTGCAGCTCAGGAGAAATGTATCACTCAGTTGCTGCTGTATCATTTTTGTGTCAACTTACCAGTTATGATTCTTTCCTATCCTGTCTTCAGATACATGGGCATGCGAACTAGTCTCCCATTGCCCTCCTGGTACTTTCAGGTTCTTTATGGACTGAAGCTTAATTTTCCAGACATTGTTGCATGTCTTCTTTTATTGCACTAGATAAATTTACACTCCTTAATTCCATAAAATGCTTATAAGTTTTCATCTTTGACGAACCATATAATCTTGTTTGAAGTAACTTGAAAACCTTTTGGTCGAGCAGGAAAGTAGTTTCGACACAGATTTTATTCTACTTCGTCCTGGAGGATTTTGTATTCTATTGGGGACACAGGATTTTACATACAAAATGGCTGTACAAACATGTTCACAGTGTCCATCATGAGTAAGTGAAGAGTAACTTTCCTAGCATAATTTGTCTTTTTATTTTGGATTATGTTATAAATCTATTTTATTTTTGGTGTTGAAATCAGTGTCTTATTGTATCTACAGGTATGCAACACCATTTGGACTGACATCAGAATATGCTCACCCTGCTGAGATACTGTTCCTTGGATTTGCTACAATTGTTGGTCCTGCTATCACTGGGCCTCATCTGATAACTCTCTGGCTGTGGATGGTACTTAGAGTCCTGGAGACAGTAGAAGCACATTGTGGTTATCATTTCCCCTGGAGCCTCTCAAATTACTTGCCTCTATATGGCGGGTTAGTAGATACTTTTGTTCCTGCTCATTCTTAGCACAACCTGTTTCTGTCATTTATGTTTTCTTATCTCTATTGCCTGAAATTTGTTTCATTGAATTTACAGTGCCGATTTTCATGACTATCATCATCGCCTGCTTTACACAAAATCTGGCAACTACTCATCAACCTTCGTTTACATGGACTGGTAAGTTTTTGGTATATGTTCTGCTTTAAAGCATAAACATTTTGTTGTTTACTGTGGATATATAATTAGAATGATTACTATAATAACCTCAATCAAGTTTGTGAAACACAGATAAACATGTTAATGGCACGCGCGCACACACTTTTATTGTGTTTTTTATCTCCCTTCTGTGACTTTATGACAAACTTTATTTTGAGTCTGCATTTACCAGAGAAGAACTCAAGGGACTGACAACTAACCACATGAAAACTTGGTCCATTTATCCAGTTTGAGAAATTTGAATGTCAGTTGTCTTTTAATTGAAGTTTTTTACTCGTATATATATATATATTGTCTCTCTCCACCTCCAAAATAAAATAAAATGAGAGCGAGAGATTTATGAAAACTTGCTGTAAGAGGAGCTCAGTTTCTGGGATTCTTAATTAAGGTCTGTCATGTCAGAATAATATTACTTGGAGTTTCTTTTGCTTTATGTTGGTATACATCTTTTGTCATTGAAGATGAATCAATTATCGCTGTGGGTGAAATGCAATGTGCTGGGACTTGGCTATGCTCATTCAGATGGTTTGGTTATGGGTATAGACCCCAGCCTCTGGTAGCGGCATAAGTTGTTTCCGTAATTATTTTTTTTCAACTTGTGGGAAGAGTAACATTTGCTCAGGAGAAAGTAGTTGAAGTTAGTGATCTAAGGATGTCTCAAGAGAGTATGGCCCTAACTATTGAGGGTCAGTTACAATACTTTTCTGAATATCCTACAAGACTACAAATCCATATATATAGGATCTGAATTTCTTCACAATGAAGGATTCTTATATCTGAGGTTTTTTTTTATATTTTATTCTCCTACCCCTCCATGCATCCATTTAGCCTGAAAGAAAAACATAAAGAAAGAAAGAAAACTGCCAAAATAAATTACCCCAGTGCATCTTTGGTTAAAGGTCAAAAATAATTCGCTCCATGCTTACTGCGTAACTGCTTGTACGGTTGTGCAAACGAGGAGTTACTTCTTGATATATTCTTGACTGCGATTGGTGGACCAAGTGCATTTTACGTACTTTATTGACATACTCTTTTAGTGCAAATAGTGGACCTAGTGCATTTTGTTTACGTAATCTAGGACTGATACAGGTGTGACTGCCTTATGTTATGCATGTTAAGTTTCTGTGTGCCCTTCTAGGTGTGATTTACATTGTACGAGTGTTGTCTTGCATTCTCTCAAGTTACGACGGTGTTCGCACATAAGCTTTTGGAATGTGGTCCGAGTTACAATAGAACCTCTACATTTTTATAATAGAAACATCTTTGGAATTAGTGTATAGGAGTGGACATAAGCCCAAAAGTAATGTACTATAGAATTAATCCATGCTTGCTAGCTGCATAATTTGTTTTATTATTCTGAATATTGTGCGTTGACAAAGGATATGACGGAAAAGTTGCAAGTATAAATTTAAAGTGACATAAGATAATATTTGACATAGTTTAATGACTACAACTTTGTTAGGATATTCGGTACCGACAAGGGTTACAGAAAATTGAAGGCACTGAAGGGCTGCGGAGGTGAAGAAGATGAGGGCAAGCAACTATAAGATCAGCCTGTCAACAACATCACAGGATCAATTCTTATCTCGAATGGTCTGGTTGGGTTTCTTCTCAGCTTGTATGCCATCATCTTTTATGTTCTTGTTTTCTGGTATTACTTTGTCTAGTGTGGAATCAGCGCCAGGCTTCGTTTGGTTTTGTTTTGTCCCTTTCTACTCTACATGAATGAAGCTTCTGTTCTTTTTCCTAATTTGTTTTGTTATGATGCTCAATTTCTCAGTCTTTCACCTTCCTGTGTTCTCCAACATAGATTTAATAATTGCTATGTTGAATTCATTTATTTAAAATGATAATAACTATTGGATTGTCTCGTTTAAACCCTAATCTAATCGCGATAAAAGGGATGTGAATGTGGTTAAAAATTTGTGAAATAACTTTAGAAAGTCTGTGGAAGAAGTAAAATTACATGCATTTAGTTGTACATGAGTAGACATTAGTGTTATCCTTGGATATGGTAGATTTCATTGTTGGTCAAGGTTCAACTGTCCATTCCAAACCAACATTATCACTGTACAAATTAGAATGGAACTTTAATAAAATTCAGAGAAAATCATTAGAAATCCTAGAAAAATTGGGCAGTCAGTCCTTTGATAAATTGTCAGCCCACTAACATTTTTAAGCCATTTATCATAGCAGTCCAACAATACAAGGTAGACTTTGACTAGACTCCACCAGCATGAACACAATAATTGCATAGAATTTGATGGGTCAAAGATTCGGCCGTTTGAGTTTGAATATTTACTCGGATCTGTCCTCCCTTTAATTAGTGGGCATTCATATTTCGCGGAAAAAAGTATACAATATCTCTACTTTAGTGGACATTCAAATTTCACGAGAAAGCATACAATATCTAAGAATATTTTTCGTGAGAATTTTCATAATTGTCCATTATATTAGAGGAATTTATCTTCCTGTTTCACTTATGGTGTGGTATTTATCTATATATTTATTTATAGTAACACAATAACAATCTGAAAAAATGGGAGCTATTGAAAACAGAAAATCACAACAGATGTAATTTTGGATGGCACATGTTCCAAATTAAAAATTAAGTGATTTGACTGGATGTATATGGGTGCCAAGTCCTCCACCACCAAACAAATGTGATTATCATTGCAAAAAAAAAGTGATTATCATTGCTATAAGTAATAATAATAATAATAATAATAATAATAATAATTTTGGTGGTGCATCTGTATTTTCCAATTCTGGCGAGGCACCACGTATATGCGGGGGACCGTGTTGCAACTTCCTTCCCACAGAATATCGCCCGGACCCATCCTTAGATTTCTGATATGACCTTCAGATTCCCTTGTTTCAGGGCACATTGTATGCATGGGGAAGGAGAAATTGGAGGGGGGCATTTTTATACATTTTTAAAAAGTATATATATAAAGGAAAATGTTCTGGTTGTATACTCACTCGTTTCTGAACATGCAACACTATTTAACAACGCTTTGTTTCTAAGTATGTAACACTATCCATTCGTTTCAATTAGTATCAGAGTTAAACACAGTTCTTAATCCGGTGTCAAATCAAACCACCAGTCCATAGGCATCCGGGTGTGCCATTCGGGAAGACAAGATGATCCGACCGCCTCCGACTAAAAAGTGAAATGGGTATAAGAAGCTTTCTCCACTTGTTACTTCACATCTTTAAGATTACAACAATTTTTAGATTAAAAGACCAACTGTATCAACATTTTTTTGGGGCTGAACATAAAATTGTATCAACAATTGTAGATTGAGAGACTATTCAGGGTAGAATTTTTGGATTTGGATTTGGATGATCTCCACTATATATATATATATATATTTCCTCCAATCTCTTGAAGCCTCTATCCAATGATCAAAGTGTAACTACTCATATGATTGGTTTCAAACACAATTTAATCTAAAATGTTATCAACAATGATTAGGTCGAAGAGAATATGGAAGGATGACGAGTAATCTCTTAATACTGTCTTCAACCAAATTCAATTATTGATGCAAGTCTGGAGCAAATCTTTGGCGAATCAAAGCAGGCCCTGTGCAAGTATGCATCATCTGATCATGAATGTATCTTTCCTATCCTCCTGCTTCATGCATAAAAGTTTAGATTCATTGCCCAGGAAATCACCACCACATTAAGTAGTAACCAAGTTCCGTCAAATGATACAAAACTACACAAATTTTTAGCTAGGAAAATTTGTTCAATTCTTAAACCTATCCAAAACCTGCATCTAGATCCATTAGTTGCTTGAGTAACTGAATGTTATTGACGTACATGATCCATTAATCAAATTTTAGTACTGAAATAAATTCATATTCAAAACTCTACATCTACAACCACATATATCAATCATAATCATTTCTTTTTCTTTCCTTTCTAAACCCGACCCCATCATTTTCCTTCCATTTACTTCCTCTGCCAATAATTCTGACAGACATCTCCCTCGGTTCCAAACACTCCGTGACCCTTGGATAACGAATCCTCCTCATCAATTTAACAGGCCGCACCAATGCAAAAGCTTAAAACTAGTAACTACACAAGTCAGGGATGAACACATGCATATAATTAATATTTACTGCTCCACTGAAATGAAATGAAATTTCACTTGGAATTAGAAAACCAGTAACAAAAGCACGACTCTCTTCTGGTACCTGTTTCCATTTTCCGTCAGTTATTTCATTTTCCCACCCCACAAACACCCCGTTTCCCACTGCATCTTGTAAAGCCCTTCCGTCAGACCTAACCCTAAATTAAGCACCCACTTCAAATAAACCAACCAAACAACTACTACTAAACAAAATGAATTAGCCAAAAAGCGAAGGGCTTCGCATTTATATATTTCTACGTGCTCCTCCTCAGATCGATTACCACCACGCTTACGTTATCACTGCTTTGTCTCGCCAATGCCAGCTTCGTCAGCAACATGGATGCGTCCAAGCACGCCTTGTCGGAGTTCTCCCCGCCGGCTTCACTCTCCGGCCAACTCGCTTCCGCCCTCGCCGGTGCCTTCCCCCTCAGGCACATCAACGCAACGCCGCAGGCGGTGTTGTTCGACACCACGTCCCACAGCCCGTCGCTCGCCAGTATCAAACAGTCGTCCTCCGCCGTCCGATCAATGATCACCACTTCAGGTTCGCAGCTGACGTATGGCTTTAGATAGTTATCGCCTACACAACAGTATAGTAGTAACAAAGAACGTGCGTGAGTCGTGCTAAAATGCGCCGAGGAGTTTTAAAAGCACCATGTCAACCGAGAATCTCACCGATGGCTCTCGACATGGCGAGAAATCCGAGAACTCGCGGTCCGTCCCAGTATATAACTCTGCCGCCGGCGGCTTCAATCCGGCTCAGCTCGTCCGGACGATCCGGCTGAAAAGCGATATATATATATCATCACTCAAGGCTCATGTTAGCAAAGTGTACGGTAAAAATACTCACTTATGAGGAACTAACCTTATGATCTATTGAGAGGGGAACAGCCTTGCCCTTACGACTGAGAACGGCTCTCGAATCGCCACAGTTTGCAACGATGATCTTGTGTGGTGTTACGACGGCAACTACAGCCGTAGATCCGACGGCGTCACAGTCCGGCGTTTGGAGCTCGCATCGGCAATTGGCGCGCAACAAGTCGACGTCGTTCCACGCAATCACCTCCTTGTCCATGCGAGAGAAGCTTCGCTCCATCACGATCTTCCACTCCGTTGATCGTTTTTCTATCTCTTCTTTCACCAGTTCGTGTAATCGATCTCTACACTTCGTCGCCACCTACAAAATTCCATCAATGGAGAAAAGTCCTATCAGTTTCAAGATATTTTTACAAGAATCAACAACTACATACATGAGAGCATCCATGACCGTCGTAAACGGCGAAGTAGTGTAACTGTGTGACGCTTCCGTGCTCTCTCAGGCAAAAGGACGGCCGGACCGTCACCGCATCTTCCATGTCTCTCCTCTTTCCACACACTGAAGACACGCCGAACTTCGGATACAACTCCGGATCAACAAGTATCGGAGGACTCATAATCGAGATCTCCTTCATCACCGATTTTCCCATACCTATCTTCAAACTGCTTTGTTCTGCGCAGTTCTCCAAGGTGGCGGCGTTCTCGCACCCCCATGAAGGCGTCTCCGGCAAGAGTTCTAGCTTCTGACGCTTCTGCTCGTTCTCAGTCTCAGGCACGGCCGCACCGCCGACGAGATTATACCTCCGGATCGCCATTCTCCGGCGCCTCGCCGCTCGTGAAATCTGCCTCGGAGGCTGCGACTCCTCGCTCTCACTCACTATATCACAACAGGTGTCCGCCATTACTAATCCAAATTCTGGTTCGAACTGAACTCAAATTTTTTATTTTTATTTTTATTTTTTGAAATCAGTCCAAAATTTCGTACAAAATCATTCTGAAAACCTAAAAACACACCTCAATCAACCATTAGAAAGAAAAATTTCTCGTGCGACCACAGGGACGCGCCATTAAAAAGGTGAAGGGTCTCTGTATGGAAAAGTCTTTTCGGTTTTCACGGGCAGTGGGCAGGTGCCCGAGAAGATGATGGGGCAGACATGCAGGTAAGGTTAGTGTGACGCAGTGGTTCTGCGCCTAAACATAGTGGATACCTGTCTTGGGGTTCTCCTCACCCGTCCGTTGAAGTGTGACACGTGTAGGGTAACGTGGTCGAATAGGAAAGAAACATGTACCGTTTGATTTTAAAATTTGCTTTCAAGGTGTTGGTGAGACGTGTCGAGGTTGTGGAAAAATACGAGATTGATGTGATCTTTAGAATTTTTTTTTTCTCCGTTCTTTATTCTCTGCTTTAGTTTTTGTGGTCCACTCCACTTTAGAAACACATACGTAGCAGTTTTTGACGTTGACGTGTGGGTCCACACCTCGTTGACGCTTGTATATCAGGACTGTGGCACACCTCTCACCGCCATGAATAAATAATTATTTGAAAATATATATATATATATATATATATATAGGTTGAATGAATCCTTTCAAATACTTTATTAGTTGTCGAACGGTGAGAGTTCAAGCAGCTCAATGTGTGATTGATTTGTCTTTTTTTTATTCATCTTTATTTATTTATTTATTATTTATTATTATTATTATTATTATTACTATTATTTTTTATTATTATTAAAATAAAAAATAAAAAGATCAAATATACTCTTGGTTTTTTTTAGTTGGGTTACTCTCACACACGCACATACATTCTGATTTCTCTTTGAAAAGTAAGAATTTGGTATCGTTAGACCACTGGCCTGTTGGTCAAATATATTCTTATCATCTTAATTGTTTATAGTTTAACTTTTCAAGATGATAATTTTTAATTTTTTTTATTTTTAATGAGTGATGTGATGATTATTAAACTAGTAATATTATAAAAGTAAAACATTGAGATTCAAAAATTAAAATAAAACATTGAGATGCAAATCTTTTTAAGATGAATAAATAATTATTTGAAAATAAAAATAAGAATATATAGGTTGAATGAATTCTTTCAAATACTTTATTACCGGTTGAACGATGAGAGTTCAAGTAGCTGAATGTGTGATTGATTTGTCTTCCTCTTATTCTTCTTTATTTATTTATTTATTTATTATTATTATTATTATTATTATTATTACTATTATTTTTTATTATTATTAAAATAAAAAATAAAAAAATCAAATATACTCTTCGTTTTTTTCTAGTTGGGTTACTCTCACACACGCACACACATCCTGACTTCTCTTTGAAAAGTAAGAATTTGGTACCGTTAGACCACTGGCCTGTTGATCAAATATATTCTTATCATCTTAATTGTTTATAGTTTAACTTTCTAAGATGATAATTTTTAATTTTAATTGTTTATAGTTTAACTTTTTAAGATGATAATTTTTAATTTTTTTTATTTTTAATGAGTGATGTGATGATTATTAAACTAGTAATATTATAAAAGTAAAACATTGAGATTCAAAAATCAAAATAAAACATTGAGATGCAAATCTTTTTAAGATGAATAAATAATTATTTGAAAAAAAAATAAAAATATATAGGATGAATTAATTTTTTCAAATACTTTATTAGCTGTTGAACGATGAGAGTTCAAGTAGCTAAATGTGTGATTGATTTGCCTTCTTCTTATTCATCTTCTTTTATTTATTTATTTATTATTATTATTATTATTACTATTATTTTTTATTATTATTAAAATAAAAAATAAAAAAATCAAATATACTCTTAGTTTTTTTCTAGTTGGGTTACTCTTACACACGCACACATATCCTGACTTCTCTTCGAAAAGTAGGAATTTGGTACCTATATTCTTATCATCTTAATTGTTCACAGTTTAACTTTTTAGGATGATAATTTTTAATTTTTTTTATTTTTAATGAGTGATGTGATGATTATTAAACTAGTAATATTATAAAAGTAAAACATTGAGATTCAAAAATCAAAATAAAACATTGAGATGCAAATCTTTTTAAGATGAATAAATAATTATTTGAAAAAAAAATAAAAATATATAGGTTGAATGAATTCTTTCAAATACTTTATTAGTTGTTGAACGATGAGAGTTCAAGTAGCTGAATGTGTGATTGATTTGTCTTCTTCTTTTATTTATTTATTTATTATTATTATTATTATTATTACTATTATTTTTTGTTATTATTAAAATAAAAAATAAAAAAATCAAATATACTCTTCGTTTTTTTCTAGTTGGGTTACTCTCACACACGCACACACATCCTGACTTCTCTTTGAAAAGTAAGAATTTGGTACCGTTAGACCACCGGCCTGTTGGTCAAATATATTCTTATCATCTTAATTGTTTATAGTTTAACTTTTTAAGATGATATTTTTTTATTTTATTTATTTTTAATGAGTGATGTGATGATTATTAAACTAGTAATATTATAAAAGTAAAACATTGAGATTCAAAAATCAAAATAAAACATTGAGATGCAAATCTTTTTAAGATGAATAAATAATTATTTGAAAAATAAAAACAAAAATATATAGGTTGAATGAATTCTTTCAAATACTTTATTAGCTGTTGAACGATGAGAGTTCAAGTAACTGAATGTGTGATTGATTTGTCTTCTTCTTATTCTTCTTCTTTTATTTATTTATTTATTTATTTATTATTATTATTATTATTACTATTAAAATAAAAAATAAAAAAATCAAATATACTCTTCGTTTTTTTCTAGTTGGGTTACTCTCACACACGCACACACATCCTGACTTCTCTTTGAAAAGTAGGATTTCGGTACCGTTAAACCACTAGCCTGTTGGTCAAATATATTCTTATCATCTTAATTGTTTATAGTTTAACTTTTTAAGATAATAATTTTTAATTTTTTTTACTTTTAATGAGTGATGTGATGATTATTAAACTAGTAATATTATAAAAGTAAAACATTGAGATTCAAAAATCAAAATAAAACATTGAGATGCAAATCTTTTTAAGATGAACAAATAATTATTTGAAAAAAAAATAAAAATATATAGGTTGAATGAATTCTTTCAAATAGTTTATTAGCTGTTGAACGATGAAAGTTCAAGTAGCTGAATGTGTGATTGATTTGTCTTTTTCTTATTCTTCTTCTTTTATTTATTTATTTATTATTATTATTATTACTATTATTTTTTATTATTATTAAAATAAAAAATAAAAAAATCAAATATACTCTTCGTTTTTTTCTAGTTGGGTTACTCTCACACACGCACACACATCTTGATTTCTCTTTGAAAAGTAGGAATTTGGTACCTATATTCTTATCATCTTAATTGTTCATAGTTTAACTTTTTAAGATGATAATTTTTAATTTTTTTTATTTTTAATGAGTGATGTGATGATTATTAAACTAGGAATAATATAAAAGTAAAACATTGAGATTCAAAAATCAAAATAAAACATTGAGATGCAAATCTTTTTAAGATGAATAAATAATTATTGGAAAAAAAATAAAAATATATAGGTTGAATGAATTCTTTCAAATACTTTATTAGCTGTTGAACAATGAGAGTTCAAGTAGCTGAATGTGTGATTGATTTGTCTTCTTCTTATTCTTCTTCTTTTATTTATTTATTTATTTATTTATTTATTTATAATTATTATTATTATTACTATTATTTTTTATTATTATTAAAATAAAAAATAAAAAAATCAAATATACTCTTCGTTTTTTTCTAGTTGGGTTACTCTTACACAGGCACACACATCCTGACTTCTTTTTGAAAAGTAGAAATTTGGTACCGTTAGACCACTGGCCTGTTGGTCAAATATATTCCTATCATCTTAATTGTTTATAGTTTAACTTTTTAAGATGATAATTTTTAATTTTTTTTATTTTTAATGAGTGATGTGATGATTATTAAACTAGTAATATTACAAAAGTAAAACATTGAGATTCAAAAATCAAAATAAAACATTGAGATGCAAATCTATTTAAGATGAATAAATAATTATTTGAAAAAAAAAAGAAAAATATATAGGTTGAATGAATTCTTTCAAATACTTTATTAGCTGTTGAACGATGAGAGTTCAAGTAGCTGAATGTGTGATTGATTATCTTCTTCTTATTCTTCTTCTTTTATTTATTTATTTATTATTACTATTATTTTTTATTATTATTAAAATAAAAAATAAAAAAATCAAATATACTCTTCGTTTTTTTCTAGTTGGATTACTCTCACACACGCACACACATCCTGACTTCTCTTTGAAAAGTAGAAATTTGGTACCGTTAGACCACTGGCCTGTTGGTCAAATATATTCTTATCATCTTAATTGTTCATAGTTTAACTTTTTAAGATGATAATTTTTAATTTTTTTTATTTTTAATGAGTGATCTGATGATTATTAAACTAGTAATATTATAAAAGTAAAACATTGAGATTCAAAAATCAAAATAAAACATTGAGATGCAAATCTTTTTAAGATGAATAAATAATTATCTGAAAAAAAAATAAAAATATATAGGTTGAATGAATTCTTTCAAATACTTTATTAGCTGTTGAACGATGAGAGTTCAAGTAGCTGAATGTGTGATTGATTTGTCGTCTTCTTATTCTTCTTCTTTTATTTATTTATTTATTTATTTATTTATTATTATTATTATTATTATTATTATTATTACTATTATTTTTTATTATTATTAAAATAAAAAATAAAAAAATCAAATATACTCTTCATTTTTTTCTAGTTGGGTTACTCTCACACACGCACATACATCCTGACTTCTCTTTGAAAAGTAGGAATTTGGTACCGTTAGACCACTGGCCTGTTGGTCAAATATATTCTTATCATCTTAATTGTTCATAGTTTAACTTTTTAAGATGATAATTTTTAATTTTTTTTTATTTTTAATGAGTGATCTGATGATTATTAAACTAGTAATATTATAAAAGTAAAACATTGAGATTCAAAAATCAAAACAAAACATTGAGATGCAAATCTTTTTAAGATGAATAAATAATTATTTGAAAAAAAATAAAAATATATAGGTTGAATGAATTCTTTCAAATACTTTATTAGCTGTTGAACAATGAGAGTTCAAGTAGCTGAATGTGTGATTGATTTGTCTTCTCCTTATTCTTCT